AAAAAAAAAAAAAAAAAAAAAAAAAAAAAAAAAAAAAAACTCAAATGTCACTGCCCATCTTCCAAGTTTCTCTCTCCATCCTGCCTCCCTTTTTAGCTTCCCCGATAAGTAGTGTAGCTATACGGACTCAACAACAACGGCACATGATAGTGCTGGCCCTCCTCCACGCGGAACACCACCGTCGCCTCCGGGAAGAAGGTCTTGTCCTCGCCAAAGTAGCTGGCGGTGTCGAAGCGCAGCGTCCATCGCGAAGGGCCCCGGATGGCGCCCAGCACGTCCTCGAGCGTGTAGACGGGGACCTCGCCCGACGACGTCTCGGAGCTGTAGGGCAGCCAGACGGTGATGCGGCCGTCGTCGTTGGTGAGGGACTCAAACGTCTTGAGGACGTTGCCGTGGCTGCTGGTGGTGCCGGGGCCCTCGAGGCGCACGCGGATGCCCTTTGCGGGGCGACCGACGGAGGTGTCGAGGACGTGGCAGGTGATGCGGTCTTTGTCGGCCATGGCGGGATGTTTGTTTTTGTGACGTTTGGCGTGTATGTATGTATGTATGCGGTATGGCGATGGCAGCTGGGCTGAGAGAGATGGATGGATGGATGGATGGATGTGTGGTGGGGTAATTGGTCGATCAATCAACTTAATCTCGAGGTGCAATCGTCTCAGTGAAGAAAGACAAAGAGACAAGGGAAAGGGGAAAGCAAAGAAAGAAACGGGTCCCTCTCGCTTCTCTTTATACAACTCACGCGGCGTGAGACCGAGATCAAGGCTGTGACGAGGACAACAGGAGACCAAGGCTGCGCCGTTTCTATTCTTGAACGTTCGACGTGCATGATTGACGGCTGCTGCTACCTGCTAGATAACAGGCAGTTGCTAGGCACAGACGGTGCTAGGCCTACCGCCAGGCCTTAGTGTAGGACTCGACACCTGTTGGCAAGTACAGCGCATCCAATCAGCATCGGCGGCAGCAGAGGCACACATAGGCTCAGCCACGCTGTGCGCCGGCCGCCGTTGGTGGACGTCGGTGGAGATGGCCGCTGAAGGTAGAGGCAGTCAGGTACATACTAACAACTCATAATGGGTCTGCCGCCAATACGTGGAGTAAGTATCGGCATGCATACACGCATTTGTGCCATCTTCATCAATGGGATGCTTAGGCTGAAACCAGGCTGAAGCCGGCCGGTTATCGTGCCATGCAGTGCGACATCGCCGCCCTCGTCGATATCATGCTGCTGTCAACTTTCACGCCGCTAGAGTCTCATTGGCAGCCTCGGGGCGTTTGGATGACCGCATCACCCGCTAAAATTACAGGCGACTAAATACACGTTCAGCCTTGCACTGTAGCCTCGCCACTTACTGTCGCATCTTTTTTGTCTACTTTTGCCCCTCCATCTCGCTCTATTGTTCTCTTCCGGCTTCCAAACGCCACTCCTCGCCTTCGTATCTGTAGCCTCGCCAACTCAAATCGTCTGCGTCACTCGCCGTCTCAGCCTCGTCTGTCTCTTCCTCCATCTTTTCTTCCCGTCCCCTCTCTTTTTTCTTTTTTGCTCTCTCTCCTCCACTCGTCCACCTCACCTACCGCTCAGCCCGACACAGCGCTCCACAGCCATGGCCCTCGTCATCGACGAAGACGCTCTCGAGCCGTCTCTGCAAACGCTCCTCGACCAGCGCTCGCTCCGCTGGATCTTCGTTGGCGGCAAAGGTGGTGTCGGCAAAACCACCACGTCGTGCTCCCTCGCCATCCAGCTCGCCAAAGTGCGCCGCTCCGTCCTGCTCATCAGTACCGACCCCGCCCACAACCTGTCCGATGCCTTCAACCAGAAGTTTGGCAAGGAGGCCCGCCTGATCAACGGCTTCGACAACCTCAGCGCCATGGAGATCGATCCCAATGGCAGCATGCAGGACCTGCTGGCTGGCCAGGGCGAGAACACTGAGGATTTGAATGCCATGAGCGGGGGAATTGGAGGCATGATGCAGGATCTTGCCTTTGCTGTACGTTTCTTTTCTCTTTTCCCCCGACAGACGTTGATGTTTGTTTGGCTTCATACCTAGAAAACTAACTCGTGTTTCAGATCCCCGGTATTGACGAAGCCATGTCCTTCGCCGAAGTCCTCAAGCAGGTCAAGTCCCTCTCCTACGAGACCATCATCTTCGACACCGCCCCCACCGGCCACACCCTTCGTTTCCTCCAGTTCCCCTCCGTCCTCGAAAAGGCCCTGGCCAAGGTCTCCCAACTCTCCTCCCAGTACGGCCCGCTGCTCAACGGCTTCCTCGGCTCCAACGGTGCCCTCCCCAACGGCCAGAATCTCAACGAGATGATGGAGAAGCTCGAGTCCCTGCGCGCCACAATCTCCGAGGTCAACACCCAGTTCAAGGACGCCGAGCTGACCACCTTTGTGTGCGTCTGCATCGCCGAGTTCCTGAGCTTGTACGAGACGGAGCGCATGATCCAGGAGCTGGCCAACTACGGCATCGACACCCACAGCATCGTCGTCAACCAGCTGCTGTTCCCCAAGAAGGAGAGCGACTGCGAGCAGTGCAACGCCCGCAGGAAGATGCAGCGCAAGTATCTTGACCAGTATGAGGAGCTTTACGCCGAGGACTTCAACGTCGTCAAGATGCCTTTGTTGGTGGAGGAGGTGCGAGGCAAGGAAAAGCTGGAGAAGTTTAGCGAGATGCTGGTGAAGCCCTACGTTCCACCGCAGTAACGAGGGGGGGGGGGGGGTCAATAGAGGAGAAGAGAGGGAGAGAAGAATAAGAAAGAAAAGGAATGCTTTAAAAAAACTCAGAAAAGAAAACAAAATTTCCAACTTATGTCACCAGCAAGACTTACGGGTTATGTATATGTCTAGATATTATTCCTTCAATAGATTTACTATAAAGTAGTCCAGGCGATTTTAGCCCTCACAGCATTACATATTTCACCCGTCACTTTCGATCCGGACTTATTTCATTCACTCAATTCACATACAGTCTACGCAAAATAGTAGTACATATGCGTGTGTGGTGTACAATTCAGTTTCTTTAATTGACGCTCCCTTTCTGGACACTTATTCTACATAAAAAAATCCTCCTGCGCCTTCATGCCATCCACAAAGAAAAAGCCGCCTCCAACTCAATCTCGCCCTGAAAGCAACATACAGGAATACCCAGTCGCTCATGCATTCTTCTCGTAGTGAGAAAAAAAAAATGGCACGTGGGGACACTCTCTTTATATCTCTCTCTTCCCCCCTCCCCCTCTCTCTTTGCCATCATTCTGCATTCTGAAAAGGAGGAAAAGGCGCTGATTTGTGAAGAGTAAGAAAATCGAAGGTGGCTAAAACGACGCGATTCGAATATTTTTTACTTTTATGGACAAAAGAGACAAAAACACATCTCGTTGAAAAAAATGACCAAACGCCTAATCCAAGCCAATTTGAGCTCTGGTAATGAGAATCGTCCTCCCCTGTTTTTAATTTTATGCGTGGTATTTCCTCCCTGTTCATACATTGTATAGTTGTGTCATATTTGGTGTGTGTTGTGTGCAGTGTTTCGCCAGCTAAATGCAAAAAAAAATAAAGGCCCTTGGGTGTTGACGTATCCGATATTAAACGCTGTGTGTTGAATAGGAAAAAAAAATGGAGCAGAAAATGCCGCCCTTGTCGTCCGCCGTGCTTTCGGCGCGGAGCCATTCCAGATGGCTGTTGTGTGATGCATATCGTAGTAGTAGTAGAGATTACTCTGGTTCTCTCCTTTCACCTCCTTCTCTTAGAGCTCTCTGTAGTCGCTTGGCCGAACTCGACGTTGCTTGTTCTGGTGTCGATGTGGGTTGACCGGCTTCCGGAAATAGGCATCGTCATCGCCGCCACCTTGGGGGAAGTTGCCGCCATTTTGGTAGCCGTTCATCATGCCTCCACCATTCATGCCGTTCATATTGCCCATTCCACCCATGGAATTCATGCCGTTCATGCCGCCCATGCCATTCATACCACCCATATTGTTCATGGCCCCCCAGTTCCCGTTCATGTTACCGCCATTCATGTTGCTCATGCCGTTCATACCACCCATGTTGTTCATGGTATATCCTCCATTCATATTTCCGTAGCCTCCATTCATGTTGCTGAAGCCCTGCATCCCCATCATCGGCATGTTCATCATTGGCATGCCCATGCCCATGCCCATGTTGTTCATCCCCATATTCATCCCCATGCCCATGTTCATCATGTTTGGCATCATACCCATGGCACCATTAAACATCATGTTGTTCATTCCCATGTTTGGCATGCCATTCATCATGTTTCCATTCATCATATTCTGTGATGATTGATTTTGCATAGCACGAGGGCCCTTGGGTATCTTGGGGTTTTCTAGGAAATCTTCTGCAGGCCTCTTCTTCGAAGCAGTGTCCTCTGTTTTGACTATTTCAGTCTTGTTATCCCCAGCCTGGGAAGCGAGGACAAGACTCTTGGACTCGGTTGAGGGAGATTTGGACGCTGAGGCGGCGCGTTCTGTAGTTGGTGAGTTAGATTTCTCCTCTTGGGACTCAGTCTTTTCGAGTTTCGACCTGTCCTCCTCCGAGTCTGTTGCTTTATTTAGCTCATTCTTGTCTGAGTCTTCAGCTTGAACGACATTCTCGGAACTGTTTGCAACTTCCTCCGATTTGGCCTTGGGGGATGAGGGGGGAGTGACCTTGGCGGCCTCTTTCTCTTTAATGTATTCTTGAATTTTTTTGGAGACTTCTTCATCAGGCTGAAGATCATCGATTAGTACACCTTCGGTCTGGCAAGCAGGGCAGACGAAGTCGCTTTCGATGAGTGCATTGGTGATGCAGTCATTGCAAAACGTCTTCTGACAGCATGGGGTTTTCATTGGCTCTATGAACATCTTCTTGTCAATCGAACATTCGAGACCACGCTCCTGCACCTCCTTGTCCTCCGCCTTTGCCGTCTTGGCCGCGGCGGAAGAGGACTGGGCCTTTGCCTGGAATTGCTCCCAAGACGCCTTGTCTGGCTCAGCAATGACAAAATCTCCCTCAGCGTTGACCATGATTCCTGAGGGTCGCTTGGATTCATCGCCTTCAGTTTGAGCTAAAATGACAGATTTATCCACCTTTTGCAAAAATGAACGAGGAATACCAGTGGTGCGCTTGACGCGGGGCCGGTTATCAAAGTCAGGATCATCGTTAGTTGGGCACAGCTGAATCCAATGACCTTTGTTTCCACATCGATAACAAATGTATCCATTGGGAGGGTCATGATCTGGGACGTTTGCCGGGCGCTTGGCACCAGGCTTGAAAACTGGTGCTTGTCTATTCAAGTGGTAAGCAACTCTATCCACTACACTAGAGGAAAATTATATCAAAAGGCAACTTACTGAGACAACTCTTCTTGTTGAGCTGACCATTGTTCGGACTGAGCAGCAAACATGGCAGCCATGCGATCTTCCTCCGTCATAGCATCGTTCATCTGGCTAAAAGCATTCGCGTTTGGCTTGGAAGCCGAAGCCTTCCCTAGCTGTTCCTTGCGGCCGGCATTCTTAGCTGCTACGGGCATTTTGCCAGAGACATATCGAGCGGCTCGCCCAGCCCCAGGCTTCAGGGCCGGCTGTCGTCGAGCAATCACCGTCGTTGATCTGGGGACAATTGTGGTATCATCGTCGTACTCTATATCATACTAAGTCAGTATTTATGTTGCTGGAAGCAAGGGGTAATTTTCGGTTTCAGTTCCAGGGACTCACCTTCACTGTTGTCATCGGTATAGATGAAGAGGTCGAAGTCCGTGCCATCACCCAAACCACTCTTGTTGATAATTTCACGCTTCAGTTCAAAGACTGAGATACCTGTGCCGTCAAATTCCACTCTCGTGGGCTCCTTCTGCGACTTGAATTTGAAGAACACTGATGAAGACATTTTTGCTGAGGGGAGATTCTTTGGTTACAAGCAACAAAATGCGAGAGAATAAAAGATGTCAGGGACGTTAGGTTCGTCAAGAATGTAAGGTCGAAGGGGCTATAAGTCTGTAAAGTAAATACGTCGGAAACCTCAGTCGTAAAACAATTGACTAAGTGAGTATTGATTTTCTTGCTGCTAGCGAAATTTTTTTTTCTTTTGATTCTTCTTCTCTTCTTGGTTTTGCACCTCGGTGCTGTTTCAACTCAAGATGGACTCAAAATAATCAATTCTGATTGTAATTGGAGGAAAGACAAAGACAATAGGGAAAAAAAAATGGGTACGACGAATAATCGAGTACAAGTGGCAGCAGCCAGAAGGAAAAGACAACCCTAGAGTTCCCCCTCACTTCCTGATCACCATAACAGACCAGCCTATGCACCAGCAGATAACAACCCTTTGCTAGCCGTCTCAGGAACCCACGTCAGACAGACTAGCAAAATTCCAAAATAGAACAAAGAAACAAATAAGCCGTGACTTATTTGTTAATGCGGGACAGAGAGAAATCACAGGTCGATGGGTCGCGATATGCGAGAATCGCTTCGCTCAATGGGTCGTTGGAGGATGGGGTACGCGTACGGGTCTACCGGAACTGTTCGATCTCACAAATGGAGGCTGCAAGGCGCTTGACTCGTTGAAGCCGCAGCCCAGCGGAATTAAAATCGATGGATGGCAAGGGAGCGGTCACCTGGGCGCAAGTCGAGGATGCTTCGGTGATGACTTCGCGGGAGGATGATGGGTCGTTGATGTGGATGAGAGAGAAGAGGAGAAAAAAACAGAAGCGGAGGGACTGGGGACAGTTAGTTCCATTATTAATGGGAGGCGCGCGTATTGACAACAAGCGCAGGCCACTTGCCAGCAGTTACGTTAGCGTTTGCAGCTTAGGCGAAATAATTTTCCACAGCCGTCCTCTCACGTGCCCAGATTTCCTGTTTGAGAATATCCAAAAGGCTAATACGGAGCAGTATTAGTGGCTGGAATTCGGCCTACGGCAAAGTACCCAGCAGGCTGAGGCGGGACAAGGGCAACTTGCAAGGTACCTCTGGTGTCGAACCCCCACCTCACGCAGTCCACACAACAAGAGGTTGCTTGCCCGTCTGGGCATCTGTCTGATCAAGTACTGCCGCGGTACCATGCGGCGTCTCACCATCAGCTGCCGCTGGTAACCGGCCTGGAAAGCAAAAAGTTCCCCTCCATTCTGCCCTCTGCCCCGCCACGTGAAGCTTTTGCAGGCGCTGTATCTTCGCGTTCTGAGCAGCTGGTAGGGCGATATGCCCCGCACCATCTTTCTTCATGAGTTCTCGTCAATTCTGGACGAGGATTAAGCCTTTCTCTTCTCAACTACTCCAGCGTCCTCGAATTGCTGCTCCTTCGTTTCGACACTACCTCACTGACTCGATCCTTGCCCACCAAGCAAGAAAGATGGCGCCTCAACTCGACAGCTTCTTCAAGCAGGTTGACACCTCTGCGGATGCCTTCATTGAGCGTCTGCGCAAGGCTGTTGCTATCCCTTCCATTTCCGCTGAGGATGCCCGCCGCCCCGATGTTGTGCGCATGGGTCACTTCCTGGCCGATGAATTGAAGGCTTTGGGTGCTGAGGTTGAACTTCGACCGCTCGGCAAGGAGCCTCACAGGCCTCACCTTGACCTGCCTCCTGTCGTTCTCGGACGATATGGAAACGACAAGAACAAGCGAACGATCCTGGTTTACGGCCACTACGATGTCCAGCCCGCTGAGAAGAGCGATGGATGGGCAACCGATCCCTTCACGCTCACCGTCGACGACAAGGGCCGCATGTTTGGCCGTGGCTCAACCGATGACAAGGGACCTGTCCTGGGCTGGCTGAACGCCATTGAGGCCCACCAGAAGGCTGGTGTTGAGTTCCCCGTTAACCTTTTGATGTGCTTTGAGGGTATGGAGGAGTACGGATCCGAGGGATTGGATGACTTGATCCGAGAGGAGGCCAAGAAGTTCTTCGCTGATGCCGATGCCGTCTGCATTTCTGACAACTACTGGCTCGGAACCGAGAAGCCTTGCTTGACTTACGGCCTCCGAGGCTGCAACTACTACTCTGTTGAAGTCTCTGGCCCTGGCGCCGACTTGCACAGCGGTGTCTTTGGTGGACAGGCCCACGAACCCATGACTGATCTGGTTCAGATCATGGCATCTCTGGTTGATAGCAAGGGCAACATCAACATCCCTGGCATTAAGGAGCAAGTTGCCCCCGTTACTGCTGATGAGGAGAAGCTCTACGACACCATTGCCTTCACCATGGCGAACTTGCACGAATCTCTTGGCAGCACCACCACCATCCACGATGAGACTAAGCCAACCCTGATGGCCCGCTGGAGATACCCTTCTTTGTCTCTCCACGGTATCGAGGGCGCTTTCTCTTCACCTGGTGCCAAGACCGTCATCCCTGCCAAGGTCACCGGCAAGTTCTCCATCCGAACTGTCCCTGATATGGACATTGACACAACCAACGCCGCGGTCTACAAGTATGTGGAGGAGCAGTTTGCCAAGCTTGGCAGCAAGAACAGCATGAAGGTTTGGGCTCAGCACACCGGAAAGTGGTGGGTTGCCTCACCAAAGCACTGGAACTTTGCTGCCGCTGCTAAGGCGGTTGAGCGCGTCTGGGGCGTTGCCCCCGACTTCACTCGTGAGGGTGGAAGGTGAGTAGTACCATTTATGGTCTTTCGATCCTCTTCTCCTTGCTAAATGCTAATGAAATTTTCACAGTATCCCCGTCACTCTTACTTTCGAGGAGGCTACTGGCAAGAACGTCCTGCTGCTGCCCATGGGAAGCTCAACAGACGGTGCTCACTCTATCAACGAGAAGCTTGACAAGAGCAACTACATTGAGGGCATTAAGATGCTGGGTGCCTACCTGCACTACGTCGCTGAGGAGCCCCAGAACTAAGCGTTGGAAGCAAAAAATAGTGAAAAAATTACACAAAAAAGCATCAAAAACAAAATGTGTACATAACAAATCCAAGGATCTTGGGCCACGCATAAGCGTCGCATTATGTGTTGAAATTTCATTTATTTTGCTCTTCTCCATCTTGAATGTCTTCCCATACATGTGATATTATATGTGTACATATCTTTTAGGGGCCTGGTCCGATGTGCTTATAATTTATTGTCCGCAATACGGCCAAATATTGCTCTTTCGGCATTGTTCTCCGTATATACAACTTGGGCATCAACACTAGCAGTAAACCAGAGCCCCCTCCCCATCCGTGCGCGACCAGGCTAGTGGCCCAATTAGTGGCGCCTCGAACCCGATTGATGCTAAATCGCACGTCAGAGCCCAAGTACCGGCGATGCAGCCCGCCGCTAATCGCTCACTAAATGGCATCTGACGCCCCATGACTTATTCAGGTGGCAGGGGGGGCTTCTGCCTCGCCTGTCTGTTAAAGCTCGCACAGCTGGGCTCTTGATGACGAGCCAGGCAAATGACAGAATCACGTAGACCCGGATCCTAACTCGCTAAGAGCATAAGATGTATGCAGAGGTAGTGTTGATGCCCTGGTTACATCGGAGCAAACACTGCAGATTTGCCGTCTGCGGGGTTGTTTGATCAGCCGCGTCAACACCGGTACTCGCCATATTAATAACGGACTAAATTACCGAGGAGCAGCTGTTCAGCAGCAGCTGAGCTGAGCTGTGCTTGTAGGACAAGAAGAGAGTTTGGGCGGCGTCGGCGGTTGGGTTGAGCCGCCGGAAAGCTTCCCTTACAGCACCATCAGCCCATCGAGCTGCGTAGCACTGGCTAGCAGACGGGGGCTGAAACAGCTCATTACAAACCAAACAAGAAAAAACGCTGGAGAACCTTCTCTTTCCCGAATCCATGGCGGGAGGCATCTGGGAGGCCTTCTTTTTCGAGGAAGATATTCGCGTCATGGTGAGAGAGAGCGGCATCTCGGCGACGAAGCCGATATTCCCTAGCTATCTGCTTCCGAGCTTCAAATTCATTCTCCCAGGACGTCGCCGCCGCTCCGCATCCTCAACGTCTTCGACATCGTCGGATCTATCTCGCGGCCGTGACGATGGCGCTTCATCAACAGTAACCACACCAAATGGTTCTCCTCCTGATGGCGATTCTGCAATCACTACACTGGGGAATAAAATTACTGCTCGACGGCTCTCCCGGACGGCGGCAGATACGCTGCGCTGTTCGAGCTGTGCTACAGACATTGCGTTCACCTCGCAGATCATTTCCAAGGGCTTCACCGGTCGCTATGGCCGCGCATACTTAATCTCTCCTCCTTCAGCAGACTCGAAGGATCCGAAAGCGTCACCGGCCTCGCTGCTGAATGTTCGCATTGGCAAGAACGAGAACCGACAGCTTGTCACTGGGTGGCATGTTGTGGCAGACATTTGCTGTGGGATATGCTCTCGCAAACTTGGCTGGAAGTACGTGGACGCCAAAGAGGAATCACAAAAGTACAAAGTGGGCAAGTTTATCTTGGAGACGGAGCGGGTGGTGACACACCGTAGCTGGGAGGATGTCCCCATTTCCGAGAGCCTGGAGCTCATGGATGAAATGGAGGATGAAGAATCAGGAGAAAAGAACGATAGCGACAGCCAGGGACAAACTGAGGTTGAGTTTGATTCCGAAGACGACGAGGAATGCGAGGCTGTATTCGCCGGTCTGTGGGATGCTGAGACCGCTGCCAAACGCAGGAGCCGCTTGGGTGCGAGGCCGAGGCCAGCGCGGGACTCATCAGAGTCGTAAGTGAGGCTGGTGAGCAAAGAGCTGCAGAAAAACTGATGGGGATTGAATGTGTTGGGCGTTTGAGATTATTGTTCACGAGATACCATTTTGACTTTGCTACTGCATTGGTTTACATTACTTTCTTTTTTGTTGGGGGAGTAGCAATTCTGTCTATCATTTATCGCATTTCCTACCTTGTCTTTTTCTCTTTGCTCTATTTCATTTATGCAGAACGCATTCATACATTCTATATTAAATCGAATGGCATGGAGCCTTGAGATTGGCGCTCTTAGGTGCAACAAATCATCTATTATTCTCTGTAATAGCCTATACTGATGCTTTTTGCTCTTGTTGCTAGCGTCCCGTAGCACCTAAACCAGGAGACACATGATCAAGCAGAGACGCCGCGGGATCAATTTCCGGGCTTCCGAGGCTCCTGGTTCTTGAGGTAGGTATTGCATGCTCCTCCTTTGAATTTCGAGGCTGTGAACCAGGTCTGTGCAACGGGGGGAATGAACCATTTAGCGAGCCTGCACGAAATACGGATGGCAACTTGGGGGTTGCTTTTCATCCTGATCTAGAACGCGGGGGGTGTCTACGTCTTGGGTATTAGTTACGAGTGGTGTTAGTAGTTGCACTGAGTAATATAACACCATACGATTACAATGTGATTGCTCATTCTATAATCGCCGCCTTGTATTACACTGTTTCAATGTAGAGAGAGTCAGCCACACCGTTGCGGTGGGGAAAAGCCTCCGAGTACGACATGTAGCTGGCATACATGTAAGCTGATGCGGCAGAAGCCCAAACTGGCTGTCGCTCTCACTCCAAGCATTGACAACAAGGAAAGATTTGGCGAGAATGCTTGCTGTGCTCTGGTCTCAGGAGGCCGTCGCCGTGATACTTTAACCTCTGCAAGGGGGTCAGATGCGCTGTACTGCAGGTCTTCGGGCAGTACCTGTAGGATCCTCAGCTTCGTTCTGTAACCCCCTTTTTTTTCTTAGTCCTTTGAGTTTGTAACCCTTGTGTAAAGTGGCTTGATGGCGAATGTAAATTTGCTACGAGCCCCTGGACAAGACGCCGTTGTACTCCGTATTGTTAGTGGTGTTTTGTTGTTATTGCAATTAGTATGCCTCTTGCTGGTGGGAAGACTTTTAGCGGCTGAGCCCGGGAGAGACGGCGATTAATAAGGGGGTCCTTAGGGCGCTGCAAGCCCTGTAACGGCCTTACTTCGAAAGGGGTGCCCTCTGGCAGCCAGCGCTGAAGCCCTGTAGGGGAAGAAACGTGGGGGCCTCGGGCGGCGGAATGCCAAGGCGCAACCTCCTATCAGCGCTGCGTGGGCCCCTGTTGGCTGGCAGCCCAGTGATGTTTGATTCTCATGCGTCATATCGTCACTTTCAGCGCAGCATCCCGTGCAGGAGCCACAGTGGGGTGGGCGGTGAACGAATAGCACAACAAACAACCCACAGCTGCGTAACTGGTTTGGCAGCAGCAACGTCGGGTTGGTGCAGCTCGTCGTCCTTTTCTGCCTCTCCCCCCTCTGTCGATCGCATCGACCAAGTTCTCTACACTCGTTTCCAGCACCCCGTTATTGTATCATCGTTACAATCATTGCTACCTGCGCAAAACAGTATTGAATACTATCCGATACCAATTCCAGCCCAGCCGAGGCCCTTGCCACCAGGTACCGGTACGTACTGTGTCGCCCCAGCTCGCCCAATTTCTGCCCCGCAGGGTCCATTCATCCTGTCATTCAATGGTGGCGGTCATGGTAATGAAGTAAAGGTGGTGGTGACGGATATGGGAGCTCGCCCACGCTCGTGACCCCCCTGATGCGAGGCCGTGTATCCTGTACTTTGCGTCCCTTGTTGCTGACTCTCTTCTAGCCTTGGCCGCTGGTGTCACCTCCAGAATCCTAAGGTTATCTATCACCCTGAGATCGTTGGACGAGAGCTGCTGCGACTCCAGCTCTGCTGCTACTGGTCCATAACGACGACGACGACGACACCACGACAGCTACAATTGATACCCCGATAGCTTTCAAACCATACAACCCAACCAATTCAGCCGATCCGAGCAAGAGCGATATATACATATACAAGCACATACATTCCCCATGTCAAGTGCATCAGGTCACCGCTCACGCGGTTCTGAGGAGTACGGGGTTTTCGATGATGCGAAGACATACTATGCCTCAGAAGAGCGGCATAGCAACCGCTATGGAGTGCGGACTCGAACCTATTCTCAGGTAGGTACTACGTAACAAGAGATATAAGCTATAGCAGCCTCCAAATGCTAACTGAATTCTTTTTTTTTTTAGAACAGTTTGGTGAAGCAGCTGGAGAGGATGGGGGCTCAGGAGCCGTTCAGGCGTGGAAGCCATGGTTAGTTGCCTCTCCAGATTTGAATGAGAGGATGGAACGCAAGTATTGATCGCAATTGTGTAGATGAGAGCACCATAGAGCAGGGCCGTCGGTTTCTCGTGCAGGTGGACGCCACATTGGAAATTTTGAAGAACCAAGAAGACACCGACGGAAACATGCAGATCACGATTGAGGATAACGGCCCCAAAGTCATTTCCTTGAGAACTGCTGCCTCGGCTGGATACAACCGATTTGAAGTCAGAGGAACGTACATGCTGTCGAACCTCCTGCAGGAATTGACATTGGCTAAGGAGTATGGGCGGAAGCAAATTATCCTTGATGAAGCTCGTCTGAACGAGAACCCTGTTGACCGTTTGTCCCGCCTTATCCGAGATCACTTCTGGGATGGACTTACACGGCGAATTGACGCCTCGAGTATTGAGATTGCTGCTCGTGATCCCAAGGACTGGACGGATGATCCTCGCCCGAGAATCTACGTTCCCATTGGAGCTCCTGAGCAGTATGAATACTATACAAAGGTTGCTGCCGATAGACCGGAGCTTCGTCTTGACGTTCAGCTTTTGCCAGAGAAGATTACTCCGGAGCTGATTCGAGACATGAATGACAAGCCTGGTCTCTTAGCCGTGGCCGTAGAGAAAGTGGAAGAGGAAGATGAACAAGGTAACAAGGTGCAGAGCTTGAAGGGCTTGCCATTTGTTGTTCCTGGTGGCCGTTTCAACGAACTCTACGGCTGGGATAGCTACATGGAGTCTCTCGGCTTGTTAATCCACGAGAGAGTCGACTTGGCCAAGGCAATGGTCCTCAACTTTTGCTTCTGTATCGAGCATTACGGCAAAATTCTCAATGCCACTCGGTCGTACTACTTGGGCCGATCGCAACCTCCGTTCCTGACGGATATGGCTCTTCGAGTGTACGAGAAAATCAAGCACGAGCCTGATTCGAAGGAATTCTTGAGACGAGCGATCCTGGCGGCCATCAAAGAATACCATAGTGTCTGGACCAGCGAGCCCAGGCTAGACCCGGTGACGGGTCTTTCGAGATACAGACCAGAGGGCCTCGGAGTGCCTCCTGAGACGGAAGCTACTCACTTCGTTCACATCTTGAAACCATACATTGAGAAGCATAAGATGGAGTTCAAAGACTTTGTCCGAGCTTATAACTACGGCGAGATCAAGGAGCCTGAGTTGGATGCATATTTTTTGCACGACCGTGCAGTGCGCGAATCTGGTCATGATACTTCATACCGTCTCGAGGGTGTCTGTGCTGACCTCGCCACAATCGATCTGAACTCTCTGCTATTCAAATATGAGACGGATATCGCACGAACCATTCGAAGCCTCTTTGGCGATAAGCTGACCATTCCCGCTGAATTCTGTCAGGGCACGCCATACCAGCCTGGAGAGACAGTGTCTTCAGCAGTATGGGACAGACGCGCCAAGCGGAGAAAGCTTACAATGGACAAGCTGATGTGGGATGAAGAGGAGGGCATGTTTTTTGACTACGATACAGCCAACAAAAAGAGGTGTACGTACGAGACTGCTACAACCTTGTGGGCCCTTTGGGCTGGTATTGCAACGCCTAAGCAGGCAGCCGATTTGGTGAAGAAGGGCCTGCCTCGGTTTGAGATGTTTGGAGGCTTAGTAGCAGGAACGGAGAAATCTCGGGGTGTAATTGGGCTGGAACGCCCGAATCGACAATGGGATTACCCGTATGGCTGGGCTCCGCAGCAGATGTTGGCTTGGACAGGTCTGCTTCGGTACAGCTTCACTGAGGAAGCCGAGCGTCTCGCCTATAAGTGGCTCTTTATGATCACCAAGGCATTTGTCGATTTCAACGGAGTGGTGGTGGAAAAGTACGACGTTACACGGCCGATTGACCCTCATCGTGTTGATGCCGAGTATGGAAACCAAGGCTTGGATTTCAAGGGTGTTGCGAAGGAAGGGTAAGTCTTTCAACTCCAGTCTCTGCTAATATATGATGAGTAAGCGTATAATCCGTCAAAAGAGATGCTAACATTAAGCTGCGACAGATTTGGTTGGGTCAATGCCAGCTATGTTTACGGACTCCAGATTGTAAATGCCCACATGCGACGAGCATTGGGAACCCTAACTCCATATGAAACGTTTATCAAGGCGATTGAGCTGAACAACGAAAGAGCCCTGGCCAATTTGACTTTGTAGTGGCATGGCTGATTGTGGGGACATATATCGAAGTGGTCGCATCTCGAAACGACATCATGTGCGGCTAGAGGAATGCCGTCACTCGCAAAAAAAACGAGAGCATGATCATAGACCAGGACCTTTGGAGACGGACCAGTTGAATTAGCATGGCGATGACGAATTGCTGTCTTGGTAACTTTTGAGCCAACTGGAATTCATAATAAAGTAAAACACAAAGCAAGCAGTACAATGCCTTACTTTGAAATGCTATAATCTCATCCATCAGATAATGTGCTTAGATGAGAAGGCAAGTCAGTAGCCCAGTGTTGGCCACTAGCATGCCATGAAAGGACAAATGGTGTAAGCTGCACGTCGGTTCATCTCCTCCCGTGGAGATATAATTCCATGTGATTATGATATATGTAGGTACTGCTAGTAAGACGGACGAGTGCCGAGCGTATATTTAACGGAGGTAGGAGTCATACATGGTCGCTAGCTAGCAAGTGCATGGATATACTACATATTGGCTACCGGCGCAGGGCCAGGCCATACTACTGTACGACATTGATTGCGGCTGATCCTTTTACCGAGTCAACTCCGTATAACGTAGGCGGATTATCGTGTTCGAGACGCTTAGGGCACTTGGAAACTGAACGCCTTAGGTTGGGGTATTCTCGCCTACAATATTGATCTCGCGTTGCAAGGACCGACTGAAGGCTATTTGCGTGCGGATGGCTTTTATTTTATTTTATTTTTTTTTTTGATATCTCTTCTTTTGTAACTGCACAGATACACAGTTATTAGTCGAATTCAACAGTCTGTCTATGCTGCGAGTATATGGGAGCCATGGCATGTATCCAAGATGCGTCACTTCACATGCAAAAAGAGCTCCGGTGCACCGGGGCCGGGTGAAAGTACAGGAGGAAGGCAAAGGGGTGGGGAAGAGTGGGTTCATTTGGGCTGTTGCCGATTTGAGAGTGATGCGGAGAGAGATTTCGCCACTTACAGAGGTACGTACCATTGGCCGGCAAGCTCGATTGATGTCAGATGGAAGGCACGAGGGTTGAGGAAAGACGACTCGATGTAGGGGAAGAAATAGGAAGGAGAGAAAGAGCACAAGAGTAAGAGAAATTGAAGGAGGCAAAATTCAATCTTTCTTTTTCTCCTTGCTGAACAGTTTTCATCACAACATCTTCATCTTGAACCGTCTCTAGAAAAGATACGGAGACATGGAGGCCGTCCCGTCAGTACGAGTGACGCGGGGCCAGCGGCTGACCTCGTCGGCATCTCGGCCAATGGCGGCTAACCCACTCCGTCACCCATCCAAGCTCCCCTTGAGCCGAGCTGGAGCCGCGCCGCATCTGGGCTCTGGACTTCTTGGTGGCTTTTCGCATTTGAAGCTCGGTCACGTCACGCTGTATCAGCTGCAGGGGTGTTTGGGCCCGCCCCGTGTATATTGGCTGCCACAGGCTAGGTTCGAACGCAAAAGTGACCTGCTCCAGTGTCGAGTGCCGAGCTTGATGGCTCCCCATACCTCGTCTAAGTGGCTGGGCCACGCTGAGTGTCGGGCCATTCCGGCGCTCACAACAGCGAGTAAGAGGGCCACTCCCCAAGATCCGAGGTGCAAATGGGGAAAAGGCGAGGCAGCTGCTGTGGCTGGTTCGGAGCCATGACTGGATGCCGCCTCCTATGCGTCGCGTGTGTGAGCAGCGGCATGGCTTGTTTCGAGGCCTGTGACTCGGCTCCTCTGCCATCCTAAACTCTTTCTTCTTTTTATTCTTCTCCTCCTGCCCCTTCCTTCATCTTTTTTTCTCTTCCCTTGGAGTGATCTTGTAGTGTGATAGTCAATTATACGACTTTCTATTCAATTGATGTGGCCAGTCTGCTGTATTGCCTAACAAAGCATCAACCACTTACATCTTTACATCATGGCGTCCAACAATATGGTCACACTTGCCGTAAACCCGGACATTGAAGACGACCTCTTCCAGAAAGAGGTCCAGCAGGTCAAGGACTGGTGGCGTGATTCAAGATGGAGGCACACCAAGCGTCCCTTCACTGCGGAACAGATTGTTTCCAAGCGAGGCCATCTGAAGATCGAGTATCCCAGCAATGCTCAGGCCAAGAAGCTATGGAACATCATGGAGAGCCGCTTCCAGGTGAGTCATACAAAGTGTTTTCTGGATATAGTCGAGTCTGGATATGGTCGAGGGTCTACACTCCAAGGCAGCTACTGATAAGAAGAAATAGAACAAAGATGCTAGCTACACTTATGGCTGCTTGGAGCCTACAATGGTCACTCAGATGGCCAAGTATCTCGACACAGTCTACGTCTCCGGCTGGCAATCATCTTCAACAGCGTCTGCGTCGGACGAGCCTGGTCCCGATCTGGCTGATTACCCCTATGTAAGATGGTACTATTCTATACATATATACTATTCTTCTTGGCTAATATTCTTCTTTCCAGACCACTGTGCCCAACAAAGTTGGCCATCTCTTTACCGCCCAACTTTTCCATGATCGAAAGCAGCGCCAGGAGCGCTTGAGCGTACCGAAGGCTCAGCGTGCTAAACTGGCCAATATTGACTATCTTCGACCCATCATTGCAGATGCTGATACCGGCCATGGTGGTCTGACTGCTGTTATGAAACTTACCAAGCTGTTCGTCGAGAAGGGTGCTGCTGGTATTCATATCGAAGATCAGGCTCCTGGCACTAAGAAGTGCGGGCATATGGCTGGCAAGGTTCTCGTACCAATCAGCGAGCACATTAATCGCCTTGTTGCCATTCGTGCGCAAGCCGATATAATGGGCTCTGACCTGATCGCTGTTGCTCGTACCGATGCTGAAGCTGCGACTCTCATCACTACTACAATTGACCCTCGTGATCATGCCTTTATCCTTGGCTCTACCAACCCTAGCCTGCAACCCTTGAACGACCTTATGATTGCCGCTGAGCAGAGTGGAAAGACTGGTGATGAGCTTCAGCGCATTGAAGATGAATGGATTGCCGCCGCTGGCCTAAAACGTTTCGATGACGCCGTCATTGCTGCTATTGGGTCTTCTCCCAATGCTGCCAAGCTCAAGAGTGACTACCTTGCTCGTTCCAAGGGCAAGAGCAACGCTGAGGCTCGTGCTGTCGCCAAGAGTCTCCTCGGAAAGGACGTTTTCTTCGACTGGGAAGCACCCCGAACACGAGAAGGTTACTACCGCTTGAAGGGTGGCTGTGACTGCGCCATCAACCGTGCTATTGCTTATGGCCCGTTCTGTGATGCCGTTTGGATGGAGAGTAAATTGCCCGACTACGCGCAGGCCAAGGAGTTTGCCGATGGTGTTCACGCCGTCTGGCCAGAGAAGAAGTAAGTTTCACCCTACTGAATCGGAGATTTCTCGAGACTCATGCTAATGACTGGATAAAATAGGCTTGCATATAACCTCTCCCCCTCTTTCAACTGGAAGACTGCCATGCCTCGTGACGAGCAGGAGACTTACATTCGCCGACTTGCTCAGCTGGGCTACTGTTGGCAGTTCATCACCCTTGCTGGCCTACACACGACCGCTCTGATCAGCGACCAGTTTGCCCGTGCATACGCCTCTCATGGTATGCGCGCGTACGGCGAGCTTGTTCAGGAACCTGAGATGGAACAGGGCGTCGATGTGGTCAAACATCAGAAGTGGAGCGGTGCCAATTACGTAGATGAGCTGCAAAAGATGGTTACTGGCGGCGTTAGCTCTACGGCAGCTATGGGTAAGGGTGTGACTGAGGATCAATTCCATTAGAGAAAGAGCATTTCCTCTTCCCTCATTTACATTCTTCCCCTATCTCCGCCAATTTTTATACCCTGTTTGAGAGCATGAGGACAGGAGCAATCTGGATATCTCTTTCTTTGGTAATATGTAACGCTACTTGATTTGGAATGAAAAGCTATCATTGCTTGAGCTTAGTTTTTTTATATGTAAAGCTTGTCGAAAAGGCATGCCCGGACATCCAAATACAAAAAAAAAAAAAAAAAACACACAATTTCAAAAACAAAGTAATACTTTTTTTTTTCTTTTCTCCTTTTTACATTAAAATATGTCCTTATACTCCATACTGATCTTGTGAATTCAAAAATCCCATTAGCTAAAAGAAAACTGAACAGCAGTAATCAGATACTAGTTAGTGTTTAACAGTCACCAATCCCATCTAGCCCGAGATTATGGTCCATGTCCCTACTTGCCCCCCTGTTCCGCTTTCACAACGCGGAGTAGTAGTGATATTGCACACCGAGTCTAAAACCATTTACGCCTGCCTATAAAATCGCAGGCGTTGAAAATTAAATAACAGTATAAAACAGGGGAAAAAATGAAGAAGGGGGCGCTGAGGAGAAGAATGAGAAGAAAAGGGAGAAGAAGAAAGAAGAAGCCGCGGCGTGGCGGACCCAAGTTCGGGTGCCTCTTACAAGGATAAGAGTAGGCCATGGAGAGCCTAACATGACATAGAAAGGCAATGACATATAGCTATGTTTGTTTCTTTGTCTTCCTCCGATTTCCGGAAAACGAGCCAACCAAAGAGAAGTCCAGCTAGTCACTGGTCAGGCAAATCTCAATGCAGCTAGGACACCTAATCAGCATCTGCCAGCTGCATAATCAGTTGCGCCGCCCGATCTAGGAACGGGAAAGGGCTGGTGACTTCCTTCTCTTCAAGTAGATATCCGTCCTGGGTTTCATAGCCAGAGCATTTGAAGTCTACAAGGAAGACCCCTTGCTCCATTGTATAGATCTGAATATCCATATGTAGAGCGACAAAGTCCTTCCGTGACGTCGGATCCTCCGGAGAGTAGACATGGAAACTGTCTAGAGAACCGCTCTTGGATCCAGCTTCGGGTTCAGCTTCTTTGCGGCGCTCCGCTTCTCTTTGTATATCTATTCATTTGAACCAAGATTCATTAGCCCAACATATACTTGACATAATTTTACATGATAGACGGGACAATGATGCAGACTTACCTGTTGATGGCCACCTAACTTGGATATGCCATGGGTCGGCGGGTAATTTGTATAACCTAGTTGGGTCAACAACGCCATCTCTAGATTCGCGTTGTAAAGGAGCGCCACTGGCTGAGTTTTCCGAGTCATTCGCAGATTCTTCGTGTCGTATGCCATGTAACTCATTATAGCCTTCATCGCGGAGATGAGATGCGCCAAGTTTATACAAGGCCTTGTGAATACATAGGAGAGCCTCCCAGGGCGCATTGCGAGATCGAATGCCAAACTGCCAGCGCACAGGCTTGGGTTTCTTGGCTGGAGTATTGATCGGCGTCATTCCTTGCGGGCGCTTGCTTGATTCGTCTAGTCGTACAGTAGAGCGTGCGTGAGGATTTAGACGCCGTGCCGCCTCTTCCTTTTCCGCTTCCGTACGAGTAGCCGGCACCTCATCATTAATGGCTAGGGTTGGAGGAGGAAGGTCGTGGTTAACACCATTCTTTTCCCTCTCCATGTAATCTTTATGATAGGCTGGGAGACTGCTAGGCAGGATGCCGACTTTGTTGACATAGGGGCGAGGAGAGGCACCTCCCGGTGAGATGGCAGATCGCGCAGACGATATGCTCATCATAGGGCTGCTGCCTTCCTCACCAGTAAGGCCAGATTCTGGATCTGGGAGGCAGTCAGTAATTATCTTGACGGGAGTCGGCCTACACGCAACCCTAGAAAATTAGAAGGAAAACGGAATCTTACTACTTGACAGCATAAGCTTATTTTCTCGGACAATCATATAAGCATCCTTGATGGCAGAAGGCTCTTCGGATTGAAGAGCCTCTTCGACATCGTCCTTGCCATAACCCATGGTCTTGCTAATCTTTTCTGTCACCTCGTTGTGCAGCTTCTCCTGGACCTTTTCCGGAGCATTCGGCGCAATGTCGCTCTTCTTGATTGCCTTGTTAGGATCGACACCAGTGTGGAAGAATTCTTCGACGGGCGGTTGTAGGTAGGCCGGCAAGTCAGTGTTGAACCACGGATCAGCCCTGATCTCGTCGATAGTGATGCGCTGGACAGGGTTGACTACCAGCATGCCCTTAATCAAGGTTGCTGCGCCAGGCGGCATCCATTGCGGCATGCTGTATGTGCCTCTAGCAATCTTGGCAAAAAGGCTAGGAATATGTTCATCGTCAAAGGGTAATCTGCCAACAAGGAGGACGTAGAGGATAACACCGCAGCTCCACACGTCGACCTCTGGGCCAGCGTAGAGCTTCCCGCCAATAACCTCGGGAGCAGCATAGTTGGGGCTGCCGCAGCTCGTCTTGAGGAAGTTGCCGTCGGTCATGATATTGCTCAGGCCGAAATCGGCAATCTTGACGTTGAGATTCTCATCCAGCAACAAGTTTTCAGGCTTCAGATCTCGATGGACAATTTTATGGCGATGACAGTATTCGACAGCGCAAATCATCTGCTGGAAGAAACGCCGAGCCTCGGCTTCCTTCATACGGCCGTTCTGAACGATGTAGTCGAAAAGCTCGCCGCCGGCGTATTCAAGGACCATGATGATCTCGGTTGACGTCTTGATGACGGTATAGCTGTTCGGCTCGCACATAAGTAAGACATCAACAAGCAGAAGGAATTGAGCAAGCAAACTACATACAGCTTAATGATGTGCGGGTGCCGCAGCAGCTGGAGATACTCGATCTCTCGCTCGACTCGGCCGGCCATGTCCCGGCTGATGAGCTTCTTTCTGGCGATGATCTTGAGCGCCACCTGCTGACCGGTGCCATTGTGGATGGCCAGGCGAACCTTGCCGAAGGATCCCTCGCCCAGCGTGCGGATGACTTTGTAGGCGCCAATACGCTGCTCAGACCTGGACTTCTTCTCCTGCGGCGGCTGCTGATCCGCAGCGCTCTTGGGCGGCATCGCGACCTGTTCTTGCTGAGGCGGCGGCTGGTGTCGCCGGACGTGGGTTGACGACATGGAGATGGTCAGCTCCTCGTCCTCGAAGCCTCGAGGAGCCATGGTGGGCAACGGCGCGCTCTGGCGTTGCGGAAGGCCTGCTGTTTAAAAGTTACGGGCAGCAAGGTAATTTTTTTCTTCGAACTTATTTTTCGCAGAGGCTTTGTCAATCAATGCCAGACGTGGAGAAGCGGGTGGACGTTTTAACTGGCAAAGTGGAGGACCAGACTAGGTTTGGCCATGCATGGAGGAGCAGGTTGTGGTTGAGATGGAGGGGTAACGTCACTCACTACATGTGCCCAGCCCGGAAAATTAGCGATTGCTGGCGCTCCACCTCTGGGGCGCATGGCGGACATTTAGCGGACAAACTTGTTGTGGCAGCTTCCTAGGCACTGCAGCGCAGCGCATTCAACGGCTGAAGCGCTTGAGCTCCAGCCGCAGCGCCGCCTGAACTTAGTGTGGTCACAGCACCGTCTCAGCCTGGCCGCTGGAATGCCGCAGCCGATGTTCCAGGGCAAGCTCAATGGGCTCGGTGTCAACGCACTCTGCACGTTCCTGACGCATAACCATTATGCAAATACGTAGATGAGGGTTGTAAACTACCAGTGGACTTGTAATCTGCACGGCCAAATCAGCCGAAGAGATTATGAGGGCGTTGCTTTGTGCTCTCAGCGCAGCCAGCAAGCTTCATCTATGTAGTCAATACACGTACCAATCCCCGTCACACGTCTCCATAAACACTGCTGCAGCCTCGCCCGCTAACAGCTTCTATCAGATAATATGCGTAGCATTAGCAAGGGATTTATTTGTATGACATGTATAGATAGTATTGATCATGCATTCCTATCAGTTATACGCTCTAACTGGACCTGCAAAATCCAGCTGCTCGTCAACCAACATTTCCTACATGTTTGTCTGTACGACCACTCCACCATCCCTCAGTAGCAGTTATCATAGAATCTAGCCTACATCATGATATACATCATATCATATCCGAATACCCTTATAGCCGTGTCTCTAGCAAAGGTAAAACCAATCATTGAGCAAGATTAAAGGCGCAGTTAATGGTGGCTGGGCTAGTCGGTACGTTGCCACGCTGCTTTTTTTTAACTTTGGCCGTTTCTCTGCCACGCCGAGCACAATATTATTTGCCAAGCTTCAAAGCCGTTAGGAGGTGTGAACAGCCGAGAAACACATCTGATACATCTGATGGAGAAGCTGTTTTGTTGGGACGGCCATAAAAAAAGGGATGGGAGTTGTTGGAAAGAGCAAAAAAAGGAATGTGAGGTCCCTGCGTGAATCGAACACGCGACCTAGAGATAACTGCGCAAGACTGCAATCTCTCGCTCTAAACCACTGAGCTAAGGGACCTGTTTTCTTGTCTCTCTCGTGACGATAATCCGCTTATAAACAAATCTTCGCCGCTGTGCACTGCAATTTCAAGTTTCGTGAACAGGACTTGGTGTACGCGTATTGGCAAACACCTTTATTTTTTATTTTATTTTATTTTTTTCCCTTTTTTTTAATACGACCCGGTCGACATGATTCGCGCTCGGCCATTACATGAGACTCTTATCTCTCCTTTCCTTTCTAGAAAAACGCCCCATCAAACTTTAATCGTTGCTGCTGAGATGCTCGGACAGCACTTGTTCAGGGACGCCGATTTGCCATGTTCTTTGGGCTGACGAGACGCTATTCAACGGCTCCATACTACCAAGGTACATGTATGTAAGCCTTGCCAGACTACATGTACGCCAACTACTAGTATTAAATTATGGTGAATATTCTGCTATATTTAAGCGAGCTTGCCGCTAATACACCTTTTTGAAACCCACCTATAGTGTAGGTAGGTACCTACAGGTATTGATGCTCTCAAGATTAGAGCTCAAGTATACATAGGTACGTCTGATCTATAAAGTTTGAACGCCGCGAGAAAACGGTTGAGCTTTGCATAGCTCCACCTTGGTTTTAAGGCTCTATCTATCTATCTCAGACGGTCGCTTATCAACTGCTGCTATAATATCCTCAAAAATCCAGAGTAAAAGATATTCATTATTGCTGTTTGAAATTCTTTTGTTTGCCATTGGAAGAGCTGCATCTCGCTAGTTATTTAGCCGTCGATTTCATTGGCCATGCCAATGCCTGTAACGTCAAATATGCCGTATCAGCTAGGCTTCAACCGACACCGTAATCGTAACATTGATATACAAAAAATCCAATTCGTAATCACTTATACAGGCATTCAACATCTGAGATGGCAAATACTCGGAATTTGTTCTTTTATGCTCCAACTTGGGATTACCCAGCCGATGGCCCCATCAAGCTGGGCAATGTGATTACATCTGTCAAAAAACCCGAGCGGCCACTCCATTGCGTTCCGCCTATAGACTCTGACATATTCTCGACCGAGAAAACGAACGTCAAGCACACCCAAGATGAATCGCAGAACGAGAAATTCTCGATTTTGGTTAAATTCTTCCACCTTTTTGGTCTTGATGTCCAAGTCAGTGTAGGTCGACAGACTAGGTGCGTAAATGCTGCACGTGTATCCGGAATATCGCTAACAAATGTGTCAGTGATCAGAGAAAATTCTCTTTTAAAACTATCGAAACAAGGCAGTTTATTCCAACGCTGTCATATATCCAGGCATGTGTTGAGAATAGCAATGTCCGCCGCTTCCTCGAAATGTCTCGCTACCGCAAGCCAGTCTATGTCATCACCGGCCTAAAGATAGTCTTTGGCGATGAGGCCAGCATGGTTACGTCTCACTCGGTCCGGGATTCTCCCATTGTTCAAATTGATAGCGCCATACCACAAGTTGGGCCAATCAGACTCAACGGACTTGGCTCTGGGAACAGCATTGCTACCAGGGCCGTTACTGAGTGGGAAAGCAGTGACAACTTTGTGTTTGCATTCCGGGTCAGTAAAGTTCTTGTGGGTAAGACAACGGGCCGCATCATTAGCGAGGAAGGTTACCGCAGAGGAGCTATGCTTGGCGACAATGTAGAGTTGCAAGAAATTCAAGGCCCACCGCTTTCTATCCTCAAGATTGAACACCCGGATGCGGAAGGTGAAGGATATGACATAGAGGAATTGACGGAAGGTGAAGATGTTGTGATTTGTGCTCTTCAGAGACAAAATGATTCATAAATGGGAAATCAATCGAGTTCAGTTGTCTTGTGAGCTAGGCAAATTGAAAGCCAATGCTGTGCTTTTGTCTTCTATTGTATATGGGCGTATATGTCTAAACATATGTGTACTCATTACTTCCGTAGAGTTTTTGATATCTCATAATTGATATCTCCCAACTTCCCACCAAATAGATTATGCCGATTTAAACTTAGCTCAATGTAGAAATACCCATCCCTCATGGCATAATTAGGCCCTCGCTCGGCGCATCTCTTTAGTAATGCCTCCATATTCTCCTTACTCTTAAGTTTCAGCGCCTCTTCTGCTGATATATGCAACCGTGCATACTGTAATAGGAACGCCGCCATCCCTGCCATAATGGGTGTTGCGTAAGAGGTCCCCGAACGGGACTTGACATATGCTTGTGGAGCTGACTTATCATCACAAAGCAACATGGGCCATGCTGATTCTACCGATTCTCCGACAGTCGCAAGGTTTAGGGTAAAGGGCTGAGCGGTTGGGCTGAAGGCTGAAGCGTTTCCTAATGTATCAGTCGAATGAACACATATAACCTGGGAACTGCTTGCAGGATACGCCCGGCTAAGTCGGCCGCCGCTATTCGAAGCAGCAGCAAAAAGGAGAACTTTCTTGCCATATGCCCTATGAATAGCGCTTTCGAGGCCATCGTAGTCATCAAAATCAGACGAGGGCCACCCAAACGACATCGAAATAATATCTACGCCCCATTTGTCGACTGCGTGATCGATAGCCTATAGATGTCAGCTTCTGAGTGTCATTTCATATGAAAGCATCGACAGTATTTCGACTTACTTTCGCTATGATCGCAGCGCTAGGTCTGACGTTTAAGTCAGCAATTTTGATAATGTAGAGCTCTGCGTCAGGGGCATAATCAAGTATTAGGCTAGCAGTAAAAGTGCCGTGTCCATTCAAGTCAGGAATGCTCCTCTGAGACTCATTGTAATAGTTAAGCCTCGCCTTGATAGCTTCTTCGCGAGCTTCAAAGGCATCATGCCCTCGATCAATGCCTGTATCCAGTATTGCGATTTTTATAGGCTTTAAAGGTGGGTTTGGAAGGTATGCTGTAATGAATTTATTATATACATTTAGATATTCGGATCTCCAATTCAGGTAATCTCTATTCCTAGAAAGGGAGTTCAGCTAAGAAAAGGAAGTAAAGAAAGCAAAGAAGGACTTACTTCTTGATTGAGTTCTCCACACCTCCAGCCTCATCGTCAAAAAATTAGTGAGTTTTGTAATCATTAGTCTCATGTCGTGAGATCAAATCCAGATTAGGATTGAGATAGGAAAGCGAAAGTAAAGCCCCTGCTTTGGAATTCAGTTCAAGTCTCTGAAGCTCAGGGATAATGAACTGAGCATCGACCTGGTTTGAAGCAACCAGTGCAAGCGCGGGCGATGGGGTGTCTATAGGTGTGAGTAATCTCGGGTGCGAGGAAATTGTGATAGGTGAAGTAGCCGTGATACCTTGTAAGCCATGATCAACTATTGGCTGGCCCCATCCACCAAAGTCGAGCCCCCTTGCATAGTTATCAACGTTATCTAGAGGTATTTTGCTGAAGCCAGTTGTTAAATGGAGCTCCAACGGACGAAGAACGTATTTGTAAATTTGAGCCTTAAGCATTAGGTTGTCAAATGCATTGCCCTGTTTGTTTTCCCAAAGTACCGGATTCAAACAATTATCTATAGCAATGAGTAAAGGAGAATCTTCAGGAATCTGATATCGCCATCCTTCTACTTTGTTTTCTTCTTCGCCGTTGAAAACTAAGTCGACGTCAAAGAGCGTGATACGACCGATCGGGCTCTCGAGCGGAATACCATTCATCTGTGCCAGCTTGTAAAAGGGCTTTGCAAAGTAGACTTCTATCAATACTACTGCTAAAGCAATCAACTCTGGGCAGCGATGTCCTGAATCGAACAGCTCAAAAATGGTATCATCATCAGACTCACTGTCGGTTTCAATGTCAGGACTTGCGTTGGCTTTGGGCAGATGAACTTGAATGAATGGCCGTAAGGGGGTCTTTTGAGATGTTGTTTGGAAGAATTTATGTCTCTAAAACCCCAGCCAGGCTGAAGCCAGGAAGTACCACCCAAATGAAGCACAGCATAGCCGATGATGAGAGAAAGAATGCGCTTAGTCTTCTCGGTAAAAAAATCATGTCGCTCTTCAAAACATTTCAGTAAAGAAATAGGCTCAGTAGTTTGATCGATCCAAAAGTTGCTTTTCTCAATTCCCACATTAAACAGTTTGCCGCCTGAGAGCTTTAGCACGAGGCGCTGCCATGCCTTTGATCTCATGCTTTTGATAGACTTGCATAGTTTCTCCACTCGTCTTGCTTTGCCGATATCATGCGAGTGCGACATTTGACCATCTATGGCGAACCCAACAACTCTCCCTTTCGCAGCCTGGACACGGTATTCGTGCCAGTCGTGCTCCATAGAAAGAAACATGTCAAAATCGAGTATTCCAGCTGTGCTATTGCCCATGCAATGAGCACGCTTCGGGGTAGCTCTAGTGGCGTCCTTCTTTTGCACCTTTTCATCTGGTCTTCGGTAAGTTCCTAGCTCCAATTTGGCTTTAAATTCATTTTGTTTCGAGCAAGAACATGCTTTGCATTTCAGTAATTCGTCAAAGAGTGCCTGAGCCGGTCTCCAAACACCATATGATGGCTCATAATGGTCTCTAGATGAGATTCTAATGCCAGATTTCCCGAAACCATTCTTTGGCTGTTGTTTTTCCAGCTTGTCTGCACACTCTTCCAAAATGTTATCTATGCCATTAAGATGCTCCTCAGAAGAGCCAAGCTTCAGCCATCTTCTAATAAAGTCGATCTTGTTGGTGTCGTCTTGCTCTTGCATATTATACCAATGAGCGTTGAGCGTCTTCAGCCGAGATTTCGTAGAATAGCATGGAAATTCCTGGAGGCCAGTTTCGGAAATTAACGAATCGAATTGGCATAGGGCGGTGTTGACTAAGTCTCCGTCAATCCGAGACAAAGTTCGGGAAGCGCGGGTTATATAGTCTTGGAGCCTTACGCAATGGAGGCTAAGGTGGCTGTAGAATATCTTTTCTTCCTCGTTGATCTCAGTTCTTCGAACTATCTTTGCCATTTGATAGACCATTTGAGAGGTTGCTATGAGCAAGTCAGATTCGCTCCCATCCTCGTTATAATCTTCTGACAGAGAGCACGAGGATGGCTCCTGCGTATCGTGTGTGAGTACGGTGGAAGACATATGCATTCACATAGGCCAGAAGAAATTGAATGCTCTAGATTTTGTATCAGCAAGTTGGTATTATAATCACCACATTGCTCCCACAACATGTGCAGTGCGGAAATGAAGCGGGGATTATGCATGCTTATGCTTATGAATTAAGCGAGGCATAGTACCTGCCAGGCGATTTTATTTATATGAAGAGTAGAAAGGCAATCCTACGTGGCGGCCGAACCAATCACAGATGCTACGGAGGGGTTTGAGTAAACCTCTCAGCCTGGGTCGGCCTAGACACCTTTTTCAGTGTAGCGAGGGTGATACGAATCCAGCATTTTATTTTGGGGGATAACGGATCATTTCGCTCTCTGATTAACAGCACAGCTCACAGTCATGACAGACACTATCACAGCTTTTGAACCGAATGAGACGGATCTTGCTGCTGCAACTGACCAATGTCTAGAGTCATTTCAAACATGTCTCGTACGAGCGTCATCTATACACCCTCGGGAGCTGTCGAGGATAGAGGATCAAGCGGCGATGTTCTCTTCCTAGACAAGTCGTATTGGGGCCTTTGCCCCTGGGCAGTCGTCTATGGATTATCGGCTCCAGTACGCTCCTAAAGTTCAGAGCGTCACCTTAGACTTGCTAGATTCGTTAAACAGCCGCATTCAAAAATGCAAGTTGGAATATTCTAGGTTTTGCTTTGTGTTGCTCTAACATCTTTATAGGCTCGAATATCATTGATACTCATAGAATGAATCCAGAAATTAATATCTCCATCTTAAATGAAGCACTGGAGCGAATTTTCGCTGATATGACATCGGAAATTAGTCACCTAAACAAAATGTCGAACATAATTCGGAGAGCTGGCAAGAGAAATCAACGGTTGAAAGTAAAGAATTTTCAGATCAAGAATGAAGACAAAGATGCTGAGCGAACACTGCTCGATAATTTTAAGCGCCATATTGGCGACCGGTTTCCCATGGTCAGCAACATTATCCAACACAGACTTGCTAAGGCGATGATTTTTCGACGAAAACGAATTCTATACTGGAGATTTCGCCATCAAGAAGCTCAGATTAATGATTTAGAAACAGATCCCAATATATCAGATACTTCACTAGAGCCTAAACTTGTAGTATCTTCAGCACAAGTAAGCCTCCAACAAGAAGACAAACAGGAGACCGGAGCAACGGAGCCCGTGATTTCATCATCCCAGATTCAGAGGGCGACGACTTTAGAACCCGATAAATCCAAAATGTTCGATAAAAGCCCATCAGCTGTTTCAACCGTCACTATTGCCTTAATCAACGATGAGACTTTCAATTTCCCAACCGCTCCCGGGGCCAATGCTAAACGAAAATATGAACAGCTTAAAAAAGAACGCTTGGCTGCCCACAGAACTGTGCTCAAAGAGATCGATGAGTTATACTACAACAAAGATTCAGCGCTCGGTTCTAGCGTTTCCGCGCAGCTTTCTCGAACCGTGGCGGAGAGAGAGCTTGAAAGGACTTTAGAGACAGATGTTCAAATTATAGGGAATATAATTTGTCCATATTGTCTTTGCCCTCTTCCGGCCACGGAGGTATTTGACCAGCGAAAATGGCGGTAAGTTGATGCAGCCATCTATATACATGTAACTGGGCACCACACTACGAAGCTCCTTCCTAACTACGCGTAAACAAAGCTGACCAGGTTTATAGAAATCATGTGATAAATGATCTGGATCCTTACGTGTGTCTCTTTGAAGAATGCAATGAGCCAAACAAGCTCTATAAGCATCGCGGGAAATGGCTTAGTCACATGCACCAACACATTCAGCACTGGCGTTGCCCGTCTCATCGTGAATTGGATCCGTTTCTGACCCGTGAGGAGTACATGCAACACATGAGAGAAGTTCACAAGATTAATTTGGGAGAAAATAAGCTTCTTCTATTAGCGAACAGGAGCGCTCGCAAACCTGCCCAGCTCTTCCTGTCCTGCCCTTTATGCGGTAGAAACGACGCAGAAGTTGATGGACCCTTGGAGAATCATATAACTGGCCACTTACGAACACTTGCTATCAAGTCTCTTCCAATCTACGAAGATGATTCTTCAGGCAGCGAACAAAATTTAGCTAGCCATTATAGCTCACCATTACGGAGCAGGAGTACAACTGAGGACATTTACAGCGGCGAAGATACACTTACATTTGGAATAGATCATGAACAATCTGATCTGGCTGAAGTCGAAGACGGAAATTTTTTGGGCACCAATCACCATGATTTAGGCCCCAGGCGTACAGATATGTGGAATTCCTGGGTGAAAGATTGGATATCCAATATGCCCACACTCCAACAACATTTGCAGCAGACATCTGATAAGGATCCAATCTTTCAACTTATGCTTCAATACGCCAAAGAGAGCGACTCACTCCCTCAAACCTCACAACTACCACCGCAGCATCTGCAGCAGCCGATATCATGGCGACCACAGAGTCAACATCCGAGCCTACTAGTACCGAATAGGAACCTCAACTTCCTGCCCGCCAATTCTACGGATGAAAATCCCCCATGCAACACTCTTTATGTTGGCAATCTGCCTATTGATGCAGACGAAGAAGAGCTCAAGGCAATGTTCTCTAAACAGCGAGGTTATAAGAGACTTTGCTTTCGGACCAAACAAAACGAGTCCATGTGCTTTGTTGAGTTTGAAGACAATTCTTTTGCTGCTAGGGCACTACACGAGTTATACGGAGAGAAGCTGCATAATAGTACCGAGGACGGCATCCACTTAAGCTACTCCAAGAACCCACTTGGAGTTCGCTCCAGCCAGCCTTCGTCGCGCGCATCTCAAGCAACCGTGGCTCCTACCAACTTTCCTAGACTCACCTTCGTAGATGAGAGCGCACTAGACGACCAAATGCGCAATTTAGCAAGGTATGGCGATGAGAATACGGATGATACCGACTCGAATGGCGATAGTGATTGGGATAATCTATATAATATGGATTCCCGAACGTCCAGTAGAATGGGTAGCATCGTTAGATCTGGACGCGATGAGCAGAGTTTCTCTCGTTTTAAACGTACATGATTTTGTTAATCAGACCCCCAGGTAAATTGAGAGAGTGTGTGTAGCGGGCTGCTTGGTGTTTGTTTAATTATAGCGACTGACTTCCAAGCTTGTCTGCGCACCAGTATGAGGCGTAATTAGCAATGTCAATGTAATAGCGAAAAAAAGAAATATGAAAGATGAACCATATTCTGGATTGGGCTGAAAACTACAGAAAAGATGTTACATATATAATACTTCTAAGCGCTCGTGCGAGCTTTCTCAACATCACGAATCCCAAGTACATACGTTAAGAAGCCGCACGCCATCTAGTAGTCGGGAACACGCCGTATACCAAGTCAAGATCAAAAGATAATAAAAGTCAGATTGAAACAGGCAACTCAGAAAATGTGGGTACATTAATTTCAGATGCAATAAAACACACATGGGTGAATTCAAAAGCGCGAGCGTGAATACCTGTATCCAATTGATGTATATCCAATCACTCCGTAACTGGCGAGGGTGGGGAAGAGGGTGCGGTAGGATCTGATAAGATTCATCTTATCAATCAGTACAGAGTGAAGACTACATACATATGCATGTACAGTATTCAGCCCTTACCACCAGAAGTTAGTCCGTCCTTGCGATGACTCAAAAGATCCACATTAGTCCCCCGTTCGTTTAAGGATTACGCTCCGGCAAAATTAGCATGTCCCACTTGAGTACGCTTTCAGCGCCTGTGAAAGTCGGAGCAGCCGTGATTTCAATTGGAAACTGTATGCTTCTGGTGACAGGAATATCAGTCTCTAAGTGCATGATGCCAGTGCTGGCGAGATAGATAGACTCGCTCCATGCGGGAGGGAGAAATCCCAGTACTCCAGCAGTATAGGTGCTTTGAAATGACAAGGTCAAGATCATGTTGCCACACAGAAAAGGGACTGAAGCCGAATAGCCAGCTAATAACAACCACGGCTAATCTGGAATAGAAACTAGATCAAGCCACTCTGGTCCAAATGAGTGATCTCGTGGCCCGAATATTGCTACGGCACTTATCAGATCCGATGGCGTGTGGATTCCCGTACTTATGTTCCATGACCTTTGCATTTACTTGTTTTGTAATAGCCCTGTAAGTTCTGTTGGCCGCTACAGGCAGCTGTGTAAGTCAATAGATCGTCATGTTGAACCGCTCGGCTGGCGAACGGATTCCGAGGGCTGCTGCCTTATCTTCACAGATGGATAAATACATCAATCCATCGCCAAGACATTTATACAATCTCATCCAAAAACGAGAGTTATTCCATTTTTGCAAGTCGTCCTACTGGCCTCTAGTCTCGTCATCATGCAGATTATAAGCGCACAACCAACCCACCAAAGCCAAGGCGATATCGAAAAGACTGCCGCAGAGACGGCGGCGCGATTCCAAACCAAGGACGCCACTGAGAATGTCGAAACGCCGTGGAATGAGGAATTCCTCGTTGCTTTCAGCCCAGATGACCCCGAGAATCCCTTGAACTGGTCTAACAAGTTGAAATGGGGAGTCACCACAGCAGTCGCCAGCACTGGTTTCATCCGAATAATGGTTTCAACGGTAAGACTACGTGTGCTGCTGACGCATAGAGGTCACTGCGAGGCATGCTAATAATAGTGCTTGCTCGCAGATGATGGCTCCGGCTATCGAAACCATCGCCAAGGAGCTGCATATGACCGCCATCGAATCGACAATGGCTCTGTCTGTATATGTTTTGGCGACTGCCCTGGGACCAATGGTTATTGGCCCTCTATCTGAAGTATACGGCAGGAAATCCATCTTTCATGTCACCAATATCTGGTTCCTGGCCTGGAACCTCATCTGTGGCTTTGTCCATTCAAAAGGACTGCTTATCGCTGCCCGCTTCCTGGCTGGCTTTGGTGCCAGTGCAGTATTCAGCTTGGCATATGGCGTGCTCGGCGATGTGTGGCCACCAGAGCGGAGAGGACGTTCCCTGAGCCTGTATCTGCTCATTCCACTGACTGGTGGTGCCGTGGGCCCCATAATAGGCGGCTTCATTGTGCAGTATTCTACCTGGCGCTGGATGTTCTGGTCGACTGCAGTGTTTCAAGGCGTGCTCGAGCTGTCGTCCTTGATGATATTCTACGAAAGCTACGCGCCTGTCCTCCTGCGTCGACGAGCTGAGAAACAGCGCCAAGAGACTGGTGATTCTCGTTACTATGCTGAGATCGAGAAGCGTGAATCTGGTCGCTCTACTGCCTGGAAGATTCAGCGAAGTCTAACGCGCCCTTTTCGTCTACTGATGTTCCACTCCATTATTCAGATGGAAGCCATCTTGGAAGGTATCAACTACGGCCTGCTCTACTTTACACTATCTAGTTTCTCTACTCTATACGTCAACGCATATGGTGAATCTATCGCCATCTCTGGCTTACACTACATTGCCATCTGCCTGGGTGAACTGATTGGCTCTCAGATCTGCGGGCCGGTAATGGATTACCTCTTCACGAGGTTGAAGAGTCGCGACGGCAGCACACGAGTGCCCGAACTTCGGATTCCGCTCATGTTGCCCGGCGCTCTACTTACACCCATTGGCTTCCTCCTCTATGGTTGGTCTGCAAGATATCATCTCTTCTGGTTGGTTTTGGACATTGGAGCGGTTTTGTTGGCACTTGGCATGCAGGTTTTTGATACCACCTTGCGCGCCTATGTTATGGATGCGTATGCCGAACACATCAGCTCGGCGTCTGCTGCAACACAAGTGCTGAAGAGCTTGTTGGCTTTTGCGTTTCCGCTCTTTTCTGATAGCATGTACCAGGCGCTGGGTTACGGATGGGGAAACAGTCTGCTGGCATTTCTGTCGATTGGTATTACAGTACCGTCGATATGCATCCTTTGGTATTTTGGTGCGAGGCTGCGAGCGAGGTTGCCATCGAGCTACTAGGAAATTCTGTAAATGCGTTCAAAACTGAGGGTGCAGTTTATAATATACAAAAAATTGTGTAGTACATATAATTCTTATTGCCCTACAATACTCATATCGAGAATTCTCACAAACTCTTCTCCGAAACGGTGGATTCAAACTGTCCGACAGTACAGTGAACTAATTCTTGAAGTTGGTATTTGGTTGATAGATCCTCAATCGAGCTATGCGGTTATAAAGTACGTATTAGCTAGGAAATTGCCAGTGGTTTGTAAATTTAACATGGAAAAGCTTTAGAATACAGGTTGGAAGTAGAAAATAATCCCTAGCATCAAACTTACTAAGTTGATCTGGTTCGGACCTAAATCCGCTTAGTCGAGGCTAACTGCTGAGAGTGGCGGACATTGATCCGAGAGTTTAATTGCAGTTCCCATCTACGCATAAAATGACCATTTACAACCTCACATGTCTTAATAAAGAAATCATTCTATTAAAGGAAAAAATAACGATAATTGAAGCACCCAAGTTTTGAATTTTTTGTTTCTAAATAACGATTATCCCCCGCATTTTTGGCACAACCGATTAGCGATGATCGGAATGACCGAAAATGGACGCAATGGACTTGCCTGCCAGAACTGCAGACAGAGAAAGAGAAAGGTATTAGCTGTCATGAAAAGTAATATTTCCCTTCAATCTAACTAACTCTTCATGAAAAGTGCGATCGTCAGATTCCTCGCTGCGGTCTCTGCGTAAGGCGGGGCCTAGACTGTGTTATGCAAGTGATCAAGAGTGCGGATGCACAAGAAGGGTTGGCATTCCATCTCAACATCAGCTTCCATTTATCTGCTAAATAGATTCACAGATCTATTCACAGTCTCGAAAGGGAAATTGCAAGCCTAGAAGCTCAGTTATCACGGCTACAAACAACCGGAGTAGAGCCTCGCCCGCCTGTTGCCTCTCAGCCGCAGGACAAGGCACCTCATATGCCTTGTGAACCTTTCATCTCTTCAGTGGCGTCTAGAGAGCAGTCTCTGGATAATGTTGACTTGGATGTCCTCAAAGAAGTCGAGACTGTATCACTCTATCGCGGTGAACTCTATTGCCTGCACAAAATGGCGCGAAGAGCTCTCCGCCTAGAAAACTGCGATCCTAGAGGGATGTTAAATCTGGCCCAAAAGAAGAGCTTATTGGCATCATCTCCTCGATCATCTGGCTTTAATACACCTTTGGACTACGATCTAGCCATTTCTTATGCGGGCAAATACTTCTCTTACATTCATCCCACATTTCCTATTGTTTCTGAAGATGCAATCCGAAATACACTCCGCAAAATTGCAACTGGCAGTCAAAGTGATCTTCGGGATCGCACCATTGCTTATCTCGTTATTGCTATTGGTTCAATTCTTCCTATCGAGTCGTTTTCCGCTTTCGATACTCGCAACACGGCCGACTATTTCTTACGGTCTCTAGACATTCTGTATTCTTATGACGAATCGGCTACTACAGTGCAAATTCTCCTCTTGTTCACTATCTGTTCGCTTTTTGATCCCAGCACAGGCAGCTCATGGCATCTAATAGATCTTGCCACACAAGCTTGCATAGACATGGGGTATCACCAGCTCCAGCCGGAAGCAGAAATCGCAAGAGACCCCCTAGTGAAGGGGATAACACTGTTTCAGACGGCTTACGTGCTTGATTTGTAAGTATAACCGTCCATTATATGATAATACAGTCCAATAAATATACTCATGATACTACAGTACTATTAGCTCAGCACTAGGGCTACCTATGGGTATACAAAATCGCGACATGTCTTTTGACTGGGATGCATATATAGTTCAGCCGCCGTCCATGTATTCATCTGAATCGAAACGCAAAGAGCTATCTCTTGTAGAGATATTCAGCTGGGCATATGAACTTTGCAGCGGTCCAAAAAGGGATGCCGCGGGCTACCTGTCCCGCTATGAAGAGCACGTACTGCCAAGCAGATTGAGCGGCGAAGAAAATACATCTTATCTGCCAAGAGTATTCGAACTACAACTCGTTGCTCAGAGTCTTAGAAGATCATTTGCGGCTGATTCTACGTTTGAAGCACAGAGCAAATTAGTTCACGACTGTCTACTACCCTTCCAGAGTTCAATTCATATCTGGCCAGCACTGCCGTGGACCACAGGATACAGCATATTCCAGCTAGTGCTACTGGGCATCTTTTTCAGCAATGGGATGCCTCAGAAGCAGAAAGTAAGCCGAGACTCTCATTTGCTATCTCTGGCCGGGATGGTTTTGTCTGTTGTAAAGACCAAATTCCCCGGGTTACATCATTACAGCGCACTCTTGAGCCGTGTGTTGAAACAAATAACGTGTATTGATACCGATTCTCGACAAACCATTGACTTCCTTGAGGGAAGCAACCTCTATGAATTCTGCAGGGGCGCTTTAAACTGCGTTGACATAGATATTTCTCCTTAATAGGCATATTTACCTTAATTTGGGAAACAAGCCGGAAGCAAATAATATGGAGGTTAACCAACTATACTGGCCGTATACGGCAATGCGCTCTCTTAAGGCTATATTCAGATGCCCAAAAGAAGTGAAATATGTATGCTCTCTTTTCGAACTAGAGGCGTACAGATCAATCTTAAATCCAGGCTGAAAAAAGCAAAACAATAGAAGAGATCAAAAAGAAACTTCAATGCGTAATCTGGGAATCGAACCCAGGGCTCCCCGACGTTGCTCGGATGGCAACGGAGAATTTTACCACTAAACCAATTACGCTTTGTCTTTGTTGAAGGGAACTGTCATGAAACAGCTTATAAACCTATAAAAGAAACTGAGATTATGTGTTTTATCCTGTCTCGTTTCTAGGGCCATCAAAGCTTTTGAAATATCAATAATGGGCTTCTTTTTAGTAGAATTAAAGTTAATGTGACTTTGGGCTCTTCTCAAATGCTTCTTATGCACATCTAGAACTCTAGATAATTAACATAGAGCGGATCATTCGCCGCCAAAATTTCCTAATTAGGCAAGCTTCGGAAAGTCGTCCGCCAGATGCAAATTTGCAAGCGGACATGACTCCGAGAGCACTCTGCCTTAAAAATCCTAGTTCCTTGGTATTATAGATAAGAAAATTGACAATCGAGTTACGGGTATGATTATGGCTGCGGCTACGGCCAACTATAGAGGCATTACGACCAGCCGCCACATGGAAAGTCAAAGACCTGAGCGAAAAGAAGAAAAAAAGACGACCTACCCGAGAGCAAGTAGCTTTTTATACTATCACTAGCACTCTAAGAAGAGAACGAACCTACAATAAAAATGCAAAAAAAGAAATACTTGACGAGAGTGGGACTCGAACCCACGCGGATTGCTCCACCAGGAATTGCTGTTAAGGTAGCCTTAACCTGACGCCATAACCAACTCGGCCATCTCGCCAGATGCCGTAACATGATGAAGGTTGCCGCTATTCAGACTCACGTTTCTGGCGCAACGTGATGAATGCGTTCATCTCAGCTTCTTCTAAGTCCTAGGGAAGAGCCTTGGTTCGAGGTTGCCGGATGACACATGAACGAGGCGCTACAATCATAAGCCGACAATCTTTAACGCCATTCTCTTTTAGTGGCTGGCCCTGGAACTTGCTTTCCTGCACTACCATCGTGCCCGTTGGAAATCGCGGCCAATGTGAAAAGAATATCAGCGTCGGTGCCTCGTTGGGGAGGGATTTGTGTTAGTTTATATGGGACACAAAGACCTCATGAATACAGAATCTTTTAAGCATGCCTCACCAGTCAACCAGCTTTTCAGGCGCATGCGCCTACTGTCGCGCCAAGAAGCTCAAGGTAATGAATGGATGAAAGACCTGGCTAGTGATCTGTTTCACCTTCTGGCTTTTTCATGTTCTTTTTTTTTTCTTTTGAAATTGTTCTTAATCTGACAACAATATCCAGTGCGATAAAAATGCTCGGGTATGCTCCAACTGTGAGCGTGCGAGGATTCCATGCATCGAAATCGATCCCGTATCTGGAGAGCAATATGAGAGAGGGTGAGCCAACTTTTTTTTTTTTGTTATTCAGATAGTATAATGTTAGCGACATGGAAAAACTGACTCTTGCTTGGTCATAATCCCGCTCTACAGATATATTGCAGACCTGAAGATGCGAGTCGCCTATCTTCGAGCGCAGGTCAATAGTCCTTATTCCCAAGCGTTGCCAGATTCTGTCTCAGCTTTCTCAACTCCCGCAGAACCACAAGCGCAGGCCATCTCGCCAAATGTGAAATCTGTCGCTGGGTCTTCATCCATCCTCACAGAACCTTCAAAATTTGCCGACGGCAGTATCTTTAGGTGAGTAACACGCCGCCCTGTATAAGATTTAGTAGAGACTGACAAGCCATTTGTTGTGTGCACTCAGTCTTGGACATCTAGTAGCCGCAGCTTTATCCACACAGTTCTCTCAAGGATCGACATCCCTTTTTCAAACTCGCTTCCAATTACAGCCGCAAGCTGATAGTACTGAGATCTCACTAAGTGATGAAGACAACCTGCCGCCCCTTTCTGTGGCGTGCGATCTGGTTGACGCATAGTGAGTCTTCCATATTTGCCACTCGAAACTTCGTGTAGCCGTTTTGCTCATCATTTATCTTAAGCTTCGAAGTAGGATTCCACAGGGTTTCGCCCTTCATGAACAAAAGCCAGACATATCAGCAGATCGAGCGTCTGTATGACAATCGTTCTTCCTCGGGCTCTGATCTACAAAGAAAAAACGATCTATATCAATTGTTCATGATTTTTGCAGTAAGCTTGCCATATTCTAAGAGGATGTCATCAAGTAAATCTCCCATCCATTATTACGCCTCTGCCATGCAATACGCCGAGGAGGCCTTATCTCACACAGACGGCGATACCCAAATTCAAAACACTATGCTGCTTCTAGTTTTTGCTCACCAACACGCTACTGGAAGTAAGTATCATACTTTTAATTCGTTAGATAACAAGGTTTTTGACACTCGCCCCTTTGTCTAGTTGGTAGTAGGTGGAAACTGGCGAGGCAAGCGATGAGGATATGCGTTCAACTTGGATATCACAAAGCTCGCTCGAAACCTCTTGATCCAGTCACTGAACAAAGACGCCGGAGGCTGTTTTGGTGCTGCTATGTTCAAGAACGATTTGCTGCATGCGGTTTGGGACGGCCTATAGCCATTGCAGATTCTGATATTACGGTTGCTGTTAGTGCGCTCAGGAGTGGATTCTGCATAAACATACGTCAGCTAATAGATACAGATGCCCGACTACGTCTGTCTAGATGATCTACAAGAAAGGCTTGATACAAGTACGCCGAATGGAGCCGAGGTGGCCGTGCTCAACCGGCAAGCTCAGTTGCGAAAAATCTCAGCAAAAGTCCATGAACAGCTTTATGCAAGACGTGACGCCACCAACACCAGCTTCCAAGCCAAGGCCGAAGCGGCCACTTTGCTTAATGCAGAGCTTGAGCAGTGGCATGTTGCACATGCGGAAATAAGCACGATACCTCACTCCCCTTGCATCTTTCACACAACGGAATACATGGATGTGAATTTTTACCGAGAGAGGCTTTTCATCTACTCTGCTTTGGTGGTTCCGACAGGACAAGAGGCGCACTCATTTAAGCCTGATGTGACATACCTCAGACTCTGCTTGGATCCGGCCGTGCAAATAATTTTCCTTTACCAAACTCTGCTAGTCAAGGGTGTCAAGACAGTCCTTTGGTAAGTGGTAGCAGAATCAAATGACCACAGATGTAAATGTCTTTCAGAAAAACTGACCAAGATTGTGAAGGACATGGATCCAAGATATTCTACGCTCGGGATTCATGATTTTGTACTGTGGGATCCACATATCAAATATCCTTAACAGCCGAGATGAAATTACTTCATCCATAACTACGGACCATATTCCAGAGCCTTCTTCAGTTATCAAGGCTCTCGATGACTGCCGACAAATGCTCAAGGACATTTCACTGCAATGGTCCGCTGTAACTCCACATTGGGTGGCATTTGATCGGCTATCCTGCGAAGTAAGAAAGCTAATCGAGAATAGCTCGGCCCCAGAGGCCTGGCAAAACGGGCAAGGCGAGGGAGATGATGAAATCGCCATGAATCTTGCAACGGGTCAAGGATTTTGGGACGTGCCGATGGACATTTCGTACTGGGACGATCTTCTCGATGGAGATGTCAATATGAATGAGGTGTTTGGGTTTGATATGAATACATTCTCGTAACGAAGGAGCTCATATGGCAGAATGAAGTGTCTCTGGTGGCGATATGCGGACAATACATCCCAGTCTGCGACATAACCGGAAACATTATTTTGTGGATATTAATTTCTCTAAAACTACTAACAGCATTATGAGCTTTTCTCTTTTGCTTCTTCTTGTCGAAGTCGATCTACCAGCTTGCCTCTCAAGAAGGGACTCAGTCCAAGGCTAAATGAGTACATGTCAGCAAACAGATAGAGAAAAGGGGATAAATCATATGAAAATGTGTCCGCCCATGACTTACATTCCTTCCTTGGTCACCACTCTGTATGTCCCACTTGGCTGAAGCTTGCCCACAACTTCTCCAGCTTCGTCGACTTCGACGCTCCCCAAAATATCCTCTGGCCACGCGATTCGGCCAAAGTCGGGAGGATTCCTGCGGTCACTCAAGTGAACGAATCCGCCACGGCCAGCACCACCAGCACCTCCTTGCGCACTGGCACCGCCAGCGCCACCTCCTCCAGCACCACCGCCTCCCCCTTGCTTCCCAGAGGACCCTCGATGGCTCTGCTGGTGTTGGCCAGGGAAGAATGAGCCACCTGATCCAAGATTGAACCCTCCGGTGCTTGCAAAAGCTTTTGCCTGTGCAATCACGTCCTCATCTTGGTGGCCATACTCAGATACGACCTCGTTAAGTATTGACATAAACTTGGGGTTTTCCTTGAATGACCGAGGTGTTGGGGGAACAGCTGTAGTAACGCCAACTGCAAGTGTTTTTGAAGGGGGGTTTGTATCTAGGTATGTGAGGATATACGATGAGGGAGCTGCAGCATTGTCAAAGACTTTCTATAGCGGCCTCGTCAGCACACTTATTCTCATATTCATCTCTGCCGCTTGTAAAACAGCTTGCAACTAACAATGTGGGCGTTGCTCTTTAGCGTAGAAACTGCTCTGAAGAACAGTCTTGAGCTTTGAGGAGTTATTCGGAATTTCGTAGATATCATCTCTGCGATTTCAACGCTCCAATTGGACGTGGGAAACTTTGGTGCTGCAGATGGAAATGCAGCCCATGAAAATCAAGACCAATGAGGTCATTCGGAACTGGAGCTTCTGGAAGCTCAGGCGTTACCCCACGCTCCCCGCTATACGCATTTATGCACCTATAAGAAATCAATTAGACGCGTCGACGCGGTCCCCCCTCCAAAATACGCGGCAGATGGAATTGTGAATGAATGCGAGAGTGGGCTGCGAATTATTCTGCAGCGACAGCAAAATTGGGTGGGAGTGACTGTCGTCTTTTTGCCATCTCGATCTTCCATTCTTGCACCTGAGCTATGCCTGCGTCTTAATTCCACACAACCGAACCCACAATGGACAAGACACCAGCTCCCATCTTCCGCAAGCAGCGACCTCTAATCCCATCCTCATCCATTGCGCCATCGTCATCCCCGGCATTCGGAACACCAGTCTACCCTCCAAAGCCATTCAACATCAACGCTCCCAAAGCCGCGATCCTCCCTATTATCCTACCGCCTGCGACTCTCCGACCACTCGCATTCCGCACATTTACAAAGAAACACTCTCTCACGCTCACGTCGTCTGCGTTGCAAGAGCTTGCCTCGTTCATCGGACGGCATTGTGGCTCAGGATGGCGCGAGGAAGGTCTAGCAGAGAGAGTGTTGGAAGAGGTGGCTAGGAGTTGGAAGAATCGCAATGGTGGCGTCATGGTAGAGGGGTCCAGTAAAGAGCTACATGATATCCTCAAGACCCTAGAAGGAAATATGAGTGGCGGCAAGATCATGGGTCCCGGCAGAGATCTTCCCAGAGGAGATAGCATGCTGGATATCAGTGACAGTGATACGTTGAACACCAGACTTGGTATAAGACCGACCTCGCTCCCACGGCAAGATAGTAATGCTAGCTTTGGCATGTCAGGATTAGGGGTGCAGGAGGAGGCAGACGACGACGAGGAAGCCAATGACGCTCGAGCATGGCTGAAGGTCATTGATGCCTACGACCAGCCACGACTGCTTTACAATGTTGATAAGAAACACTTTGAAAGGTAAGATACCTTGTGCTCCTCTGACCCTAGACTCCAAACTCACATGAAAACTACCAGAGATACGGCCAAGCCCTCGTTATTACCCCCCGCCTCTCACAAGACCACTGTCTTCCGGAACCGCTATCACGTCATTCACCAACGTCTCCTCCGCAACGAATCATTTCAAGTCTCGTCCGTCACCTCATCTCGCAGACGTACTCTTCAGCGCTCGCTTTCCAGTCAACAGTCTCTCAAAATCACACCAATCGCCAATCTGCTTGGTCGACATGGGAGCAATCACATGCTCCTTGGGCAGCTTAACATTCTGCCGACAGGGGACTTGGCCGTAAGTGACTTGACGGGCACCATTGCTCTTGACCTCACGCAGGCTGTTGCCATTCCGGAGGATTCGGCATGGTTTTGCCCTGGGATGATGGTTCTGGTGGATGGTGTGTACGAGGAAGAAGAGGAGTCTGTCGGTAAAGGGTTGAGCGGCAGTAGTGGTGTTGGAGGCACTCTTGGCGGCCGCTTTCAAGGTTTCTTTATTGGACAACCCCCATGCGAGAAGCGTAAGTCGACTCTCGGCATTAGCGGTCCCGATGGCAACGACCATGATCAAACAATTGGAGGAGGCTTCGGCTGGATTGATTTCCTCGGCATTGGCAGCGAACGAGCTGTTGGTTCTAAAATGCGGAGGCTAGAGAGAAGGTTGCTCCCACCCCCCTTAGACCGGGATATGCCTTCCCGAAATCGAGTGGTGATAATTGGCGAAATCAATCTCGATCAGCCCCGAGCCCTCCAAGCCCTCCGCAAGATCCTCTCCTTATACGCCGCCGAACCCGAAGGTACCTCGCCTCTGACATTTGTTCTGGCCGGCAACTTCACACAACACGCCGTCATGGCCAGGGGCGGCACCGGTGGCAGCATTGAATACAAAGAATACTTCGACGCCCTAGCCTCAACCTTCTCCGACTTCCCAACTCTCCTCCAGTCGTCCACCTTTGTCTTTATCCCCGGCGACAACGACGGCTGGGTCTCCTCTTTCACAGGTGGTGCTTCCGTCCCATTACCCCGTAAGCCTGTCCCCGAGATGTTCACATCACGCATCCGCCGAGCTTTTGCTACAGCAAACGCGGAAGCTGGCAATACGGGTGTTCAGGGATCTGCTATATGGACGAGCAACCCAAGCCGAATGTCCCTTTTCGGAACGAACCATGAACTAGTATTATTCAGAGACGATATCTCCGCCCGATTAAGGCGCACCTCTGTCACTCTCAAACGTACGGCCGCCGCCGAAACACAGGGCGTCCAAGAAGACGCTTTCCCTGGAACCCAACAAGATGATCCAACCACAGTTGCAGCGGAAGACGCAATGGAAGTCGATTCCGCAGCCGAAGGAAAGCCCGCCGCCACGACCTCATCTTCCCTACCTCTCGATGTCAAGACGGCCCAAAAACTTGTCAAAACCATCCTCGATCAAGGGTACCTATCCCCATTCCGCCAGTCAACACGGCCCGTACACTGGGATTACGCATCCGCGCTACATTTATACCCTCTCCCTACTGCAATGGCGCTCATCGATACAACAGCCCCGCCCTTCTGCATCACATACGAAGGCTGTCATGTTATGAATCCGGGAAGTATCCTTGTATCTGGGCGAAAAGGCGTGGGAAGGTGGGTCGAGTATGAGATTGGGCGGCAGGGAAGGGTGAGGGAGTGTACTCTGTAGCATGTATTCTATCATTCTGTGCGAGTATGAAAGGAAAAGGGGGAGGGGGATTTGGTATAGGAAAATTTGCTGGGTTGGGTATGGAATCAAATTTAGGCACGAATTGCATGAAGAAATGGTCAAGGAAGTTTAGGGATATGCGTATAGTTATGAGGATGATATATCTGAACACTTCAAAAGCATATGTATGATACTTGAAAATTTCAGAACATATCAATAATTAGATTAACTGAATAACCCCTCATCTAATAAGATAGCCTGATGCTCCCGCACCAGCTTGCTGCCATATTTTTATATTTTCCCTTCGTATGCTTGATTTGATCCATTTAGTCATAAATCGTCGTTTCCCCCCCCAAAAAAAAAAAATTAACTCCAAATAGAGCCGTATCGCCATGTTAAGACCATCCAAGTTGTAAGCCAAATCCTAAATAGCAAAGTCAAATGACTTCGAGAGTTGCTCTCCAAGCCTTACTCCAAGAGCAGTTCATCCTGATGCAAAACTCCAAACAAAGCTTCAATCTCCATTTTTATCTTCTTCAATTCAGCAGCCACTTGCGCCGTAACAAGGGTATAAGCGTAAAGCAAAGCAAAATCTCTCTCTTCCGTCATCGCCTGAGTAGCATCTTCATCATTATTTCTCAAATTCATCTCCATGTGCTTCTTCCGGTACTCGTAAATTTTGTTCAATAGGCGATCTCTGGTACGATCGATGGTAGGAATGGCATCCGTAAGAGGATACTCCAGCATAACGCTTGATGCGAGTACTTGAAAAACGTGGCATAGCCGTTGGCACAATTGCATTCTTTCGGCCGACGTGACTTCCAGCAGAGAACTCTCACCCTCCGAAAGAGTATGCCGGCGCTGTGTGATGAGACGCATAGCATAGAGGCCATCCAGAATATGTTTGGTAGAGTGCATAATTCGCCCATAGGCGGCATTTGGGAAGGGTCCTCGAAGTTCAAACTCGGACTTGGCAGAGTCTCGCAACGACTCCAACTTGAAAACTAAAGGCAGAAGCGCTATTTGTTAGTAAGTAAGATAAGATGCGCAGGAGGTTCAACAATACCATATCGTCGGAGGGCAATTTGCTCCCCGTCCTGCATAAAGTCTGAGACATTTTTGTTTTTCGAAAAACCAGCCAGGGGGCCGCGCTTCCATATGAGCCCAAGCTGCAGATATAGCACCGAAAGCCCTTCTCGGAATTTTCTTCTCCCAGAGATTGGCCACAGCAGCCGGCAAACGAGGATGCCCCATAGGATTCCTAATGTGACAGCCACCACTCGATGGTAGGTAATTTCGAAAATTAGAGGATCTATGCCACCCTCGTCATCGTCATCGTCATCGACATCCTGTGAAAGGCTGTACGCATAAAGTACAATAACATTATACGCCAAAAGTGAAATTCTCCCCAAAGGAGCTTTCTTCATGACTAAAATGACATAGAAGTTTCCCAATGCCACAATGGCGGTATAGAGCTCAAGAAGCCAAGGGTTGGTCATACTCAACGACCACGCAACGCAGGCACACGCTCCTCCAATCAAAGTGCCAATGAATCGAGAACTGCCCGTCGTATTAGAAGCACCAGTGGTCATACCGACAACAATCATGTAAGACAGCAAGCCCCATTCACCTCTCCAGTGTTGATATACTGGTCTTGTAATCGGGATGAAGGCAAACATGGCCCACAGAATAGCGCCAATGCCCACTTTGATACCAAACAAGACATCGTCGCGCGTTAGAAATCGTAGAAATTTCAGCAAAGCTTGAGAGCAATTACGGACAAAGGCACTTGTGTTCTCTGGCGGCGAAGCGTCCCAATGGAGGGAGTCTCTTCTCTTCAGCATTGCCTGAGGTATGCCTTTTGGCGTGGGCGACTTTTTGCTAATCGGTTTAGGCGTCCTTGGCAAAAGCGGTTCGTTCTCGGCATCTGAATCTCTTCGGCGTTGGAACATCTTCCAGTGTCTCCAAAACTTAATCCATTCCCAGCTGCGAGCTTGGCGTTGTGTCGACTCGGATCCAAGAACGTCAAGATAAGCATCCATCTCCACAGCAACAGCTTGCAAACATACTGAGAAGTGGCCGCAAGCGGCAGCAACTTCCTCAATATCGGCCTGAATCTCTTCAGACCGTGTTCTTCCGAGCTGTATGCTCCGATATAACTCACGAAGAGCTTTGCCTCTAGCATTATTGTACAGATCTAGTGCATCTTGAAGGCTTGCACGCAGCTGCTCAATCGTAGTCGCTTGGCATTCCGGGTCTTGGCTAAATGGATTCTGCCTCAGCGTTTCTAATAGCGTAAATGCCAAGGACTTCATAGAGGGGCCCAATAACGCCAAGAAAAGAGCAAATATATCCGAAGGTACGCGAAAAATGGGCGATTGATCTAGCGTAGGATCCGATTGGCTGAAGGGAATCGAACGCCTTTCGAGTTCATCCTCTTCAATAACCGATAATCGGTCCCTAGCCTCATCGGAGAAGTACGACACACTCCGGGACATTCCTGAGGCTGGCTCGGGGGAGAATAAGCCGGATGGCGGTGGTAAACCAGAATTTGGACCCTCTTTCAAAAGCGTAAGCTGGGTCTGAAGCGCACTACGCAAACCTCCAATAGCCTGTGAGAGCGTTTCTAGTGATTTAATGAGGCGTTTATCTAACGCATATGTTTTCTCTTGCCCAAGGAGATAATGCTCGATTTTGGCCTCACGAAGAGTAGTCATTATCTGAGCATAAGAAGAATTATACTGCGCAGAAGCCTCGGTATATTCAGGAGAGCTGACCTCGTCCTCTGAACAATTCAAAAACCCGCTGGTGATGAAGGACAGACGATCGCCCAGCGCTACAGCTGCTGTGAGGATTGACTTGCGCAACACTTTCCTTGCTGATACGCGCCATGCCAGGAGATTAACGGCCACGGTGAAGAAGATGCCAAGCGAGAGTAACTTGAGCATCTGTACAATCTTGTCCGCAGAGAAGTAGCCATTTTGCACGGATTCTTCTTTGGTAATGATAGAAATGATTGCCATCGATGCCAGGGTGGACGCAGTATTCACAAGAGGCTGGTTTAATCGCTGCTTGGTCCAACCGACCAGGCCAAGACCGCCTCCTATACATATCACCAGGACAATGACATGGGCAGGGGCGGTAGACCCCCATACATCGCGAGAGGCAATCGCTATCCCCATCGACAAGAGACAGACTAGCTCAGCGTATACCACGGCCACAATCGCAATCATAACAGCCTCCAGCATGGACCCAGCCGTACGCGCTGGGTGGAAGTACACCGTCAAGGTGGCGGCAATATGCTTGCCATCTCTGCGACCCATGAAATTCGACAATGGTGGCCAGAACGTCGCCGTGGTGCCCAGGAGATATGCCAACGTACACTTGAGCACCTGGTGGCCTTGGTCAGTCTGGAGCCATCTCCAAGCAGCCAGGCTCTTTGTCCAAGCAGCTTGCGACACAGCCTGGATATGCTGGCCAGCCGTACCGGCAGAGAGCATAGACGAGCGTCGCCTGGATCCATCACAATGTGACCGATTCCTGGGAGTGCGGAGTGTGACCTGGCGCCGGGACCGCTGGCCGGTAGCAGGGATGACAAACGTCCCATTGCGCATTTTCTATGCAGAGACACAAGTAAGGATTAGCCACGGACTTAGCAAGGCGCCGCCATGCAGACAATTCTGGATGGGGCAAAGGCGATTCCATCACGTACATTCCTCTTGGAGGGCCGGGAGGGCGGCCATGGCGGCGTCGTCGAGGAGCTGCTGCTGCTGTTGGAGCTGCTCATGTCGACCTGGTGGTAGTAGTTGCGTCAGCCGCGTCGCTGCGGGCGGCCAGCATTATCATGGGCTCGAGCAAGGCCCGCGGCCGCACGTCGCAGCGTTTGCCTCGTCTGTCGCGTCAGCTCCTCGGGAACACGCCGTGAAAGAGTGCGGGTTCGTCGGAAAGAAGCAGGACTGGATGGATTGGAGGAATGGATGGCAGCGGACGGATGGCAATAGCTCAGGTTAAGCAGCTCCCAACAGCAGCGGGAAGAAAAGGTGAGCAGCAAGCTCCAAAACAAGACGGTCGGTAGCTTATGGCGCACGGGACACCGCCAGAGCGCTGCTCAGGCACTACCGGCAGTGACAGCGCCAGCGGGGCCAGCGGTGGGCCAGCCCTGCACCAGCATTAGCTGTCATTCCTGATTGACGCCAGATGGACCAGATCGCGGGCGGCGGAATCAGCAATCCTCGGCGATCTGGCGCTGGCCGCCTCTTATAGGCTGTCGCCGTGCAGAGCGCGCGGTAGCAGGGAAATAGTGCCGAGCACATCGTCGCATCAAAGGCGTCTTGGGCGCTTCTGCAGCGTCTACTGCACGTTAACTAGGCTGCGCCACCACCACCACTAGCCACGATGCTATGCTCTTATCAAAACCATGCGTCTGCTGCTGTTCCGGCGCCGGTCTGGACAGGCCTTTTCGAGCCTGCTGCATATGCTGGAGAGGCATCGGATCTTCACGCTCAATCTTGGCGCCCTCCACCTTCATGAAGCCGCCCAGATCAAGTGCCACCATCCTATTATCCGACCTGGTGGCTAGCGACCACGATAAGCCTCCTCCTCACGCCATTTTACGCGCGCCTTGGCCTCCGCGCGCTTCTTTCTCTTCCCTCGTCCTTCCCAGCCTCTAGTCTAAACGCCTCCAGTCACTCGGGCCGCTCTGCCCTCTCTTCTATCCATCTGACTCAAGACGCTCCCGCTTCTCTCGTTAACCAATCGACACGCTGGCCGCCTTCATCCGACGACGGCTTCTGTCCGCCATGGCTTCTCCAGGGCCCAGAAGATTCGCTCCTTTGCGAGCAACGGCAGATTTGTCACCTTTTAATGCCGCTCCGCCACTGAGAGGCATCGTATTTGACATGGATGGGACGTTAAGGTATGAAAAAGATTTTACGTTTATTCCTTTTGTGACTGAGCTGCATTTCCTAATGCCCTGAATGTTTTGCCCCGTTTCCATGCTCTTATAAGAATGAAAAAATCACCACTCTCTCCCTTTTTATATAACATTCACCTGCTTGATTGGATGCCTTTTAAGAGACAGTACGAAAACAATGCATTTTCCATACGGCGAGATACGGCGAGATTTGGAAAATGCCACTTGGTCTGAATCCTCGTTCCTCGTTCGCCGCACAGCCTGACACTTGTATGCTTACCCCGATTTGTGCCCCTCATTTTAACATTGGATTTAAAAATTGGACGATGCCTGGAAGAAAGAAACACATACCAAAAAAAAAAAAAAAAAAAAAAAAAAGACAAGTTTTATCTGGGGCTATCTCATTATTTACTGATTAAACTTCTCGTAGTGTGCCGCAGACATACATGTTCAAGGAAATGCGCTCCGTTCTCGGAATCCCTCAATCAGTGGATATTCTCGAACACATTGATAAACTGCCCCCTCACCAGCAGCCACCGGCCCACGAAGCCATCCGCGCCATTGAGCGCAAGGCTATGGCCTCGCAGGCGCCCCAGCCTGGCCTCCAGACCCTCATGTCGTATCTCGAAGCCTACCAGGTCCCCAAGGCCATCTGCACCCGCAACTTCGACCTCCCCGTCCAGCACCTCATCACAAAGTTCCTGCCCGCCTCCCAGTTCTATCCCGTCATCACCCGGGACTTTCGACCTCCTAAACCTCATCCGGCAGGCATCATGCATATTGCTCAGAGCTGGGGTCTGATAGACGGCTCCGGAGCCGTGGATGCGAGCGGCCTAATCATGGTTGGAGACTCTCTTGATGACCTAACGGCAGGGAGAATGGCGGGAGCTGCGACGGTGCTGCTGCTCAACGACGTAAATAAGGAACTGGCCAACCACGAGAATACAGATTTGGTGATCCACCAGCTGGACGAGTTGATTCAAATACTGGAAAATGGCTTTCAGGGGCGGTTGATAGAGCCAGGCCGTTTACTGTCGTGATTTCGAGTAGTATATCCAGACATTAGATTCAAGCGCTTCCCAGCATAACACAAAAATACTCCCATTGGTAATCAGCTGGCTGTTGTAGACACAGAGATGTATATATAAACACTCAAATATATGCTCTTTTTCCTATGAGGGAAATGACGAATACAAACCTTAACTTAAAGTTAAATTGCACAAGTCCTCTTTTCACTCTCTCCCTTTGTTGCCAATTCATTGTTTTCTTGCTGGATTCAACGCTTTGTGTTCGCTACATATACATCGCACTATAACATAAAACACAATCCTAACGGTTTCATCCTATTGAAGTGTACCAAAATATAGTTTTGGTGAAATTTCATTGCTGTTTCACAGATTCCACAGCCCACTCCAAAGAGTCTTTCCTTGACTATCCTCCCTTATTCGGCATTTTTGATAAGAGAGAGCGTAGAGAGAAGAGAGAAGCCCATCGAAAATAAGTTGCGCCGTCATGATGCTAAGCCAGGAGGTTGGTGAGAAGATGTAGAGACATGGAGGTCAGAAAGGTCAACAGTATGGTGGCGGATCCTATACGCCATATGAAGGGTTGGGATTGGAGGGCAGACCAAATTTGGGCTGCCTTCGGCTCTGGCTTCGCATTTCGTCTGACGACACGGGCTTTTGCGGTGCACCTTGTGAGGCAAAGGAGCTCGTTGGCGGTGCTGGCCGGACTGGGAGGTTAAAGGTGGCGGCATTGGAAGAAGAGACCTGAGGAATCGAATTGGTGGTGGTTCCTCTCTGTCCAAGGCCCGGATGAGCAGGTCGACCAACGGCTGCGCCATTTCGCGACGGTGATCGGTCCTGCACAGGCGCTCGATCTTTTGGTGAGAAGATACCGACTCCGGCAATCGGAATTTCACCGTACTGGGGAGTATTGGCCGGCGGCTCCTCATTGTTGCGCGACTTTGGCGATGAGTCGCTGGACCGGAGCAGATCTTGGGTACCACTGGGGGACATCTGGGGTACAAGATGAGACTTGCGGTTGTCTTTTTCCATGAGACTGAAAGCCCACGCCTTAAGATCCACGGGCGTTCTTTTGGCAGCCTGAACGAAAGGATCTCGTTCCTTAAAATAAAGTTAAAAGTTGTTAATAATTACCCATGAGACAAAGAAGAAAACTTACAAATAACTCCTGTGGGGTAGGTCGCTTTTCTGGCTCTTTGAACAGACACTTTTGAATCATGTCTTCCAAAATGCTAGGGAAAGCGTCGCTCTTGGGAAGCTTTGGAGCCGGCTCATTAACAATCTGCTGCAGCAGATCCAATATTCCGGCCGGGCCCGAATCCGCATCGTCAATGTGATCGTTTGTGTTGAAAGGGAATTTTCCAATAGCAAGCTCCATAATGGTCAAACCAAAGCTCCACACGTCCGACTTGACTGTGTACTTCTCGCCTTGGATTCTTTCGGGTGCCATGTATGTTGATGTGCCAACGAAGGTGTCGGCAATGGAGTTGACCAGCTCTCCAGACACACCGAAATCACAAAGTTTGATAGAGCCGCGAGAGTTGATGAGGATGTTTGACGGCTTAATATCTCGATGCATAATATGATGCTTCACGTAGAGATATGTCAGACCGCCCAAAGTTGCCTCTGCAATCTTTCCCAATACATCCACACGGATCGGGCCAAAGACCCTTGAAACTCTATCAAGCGCGCTATTCGAGCACTGGTGTCAGCCGCACTTCTTCCAATCTTATGTCGCACCTTGAATTCACGTATGAGACTTACCCAACATCCATATACTCCATACACATGATCACATCGTTGTTGTGATTCAAAAAGGCCCCATAAAATGTGACAATATAATCAGAGTGACATCCATGCATAATCTGAAGCTCTCGAACGATTCGTCTTCGCATCTCCTTCTTGGCTTCCACGTGTATCACCTAGAAACTTTGTTAGCCAGAAGTTATGATACGGGCGCCTAAGAGCGATGACAGCAAATAGAACGAACCTTGCGGGCCATGACAGTTCCCGTCGTCAAATGCTTGACTTTGCTAACGGTTCCACCGTTGCCAGAGCCGAGTTCTTTCATCACCTCAAGCTCTTCTGGTCTCAAGTCGAGCTTATACTCAATGCCAATTTCCAACTGCTCCTCCTTACCGGCTTCGTCTTTGTTGACTTCTGAGCCGCGTCTACTTGTATCGGCTGTCGGCGAGGGACGCGGCGCTGCTGGCGTCAGGGCGAGGCCCTTGACGTTCTTGCGCTTCATAGTGCGCGGTGCGAACGGATCAGACATGATGGGCGAGAAGTAGGGATGCAAACGGGCGAGAAAGCGGTGGATTGGCGGCGAGGCGACTGGTGCACTGGGCACAGAGCGAAAGTCGATCAGGCGTTCCTCGGGCTCGATCGTTAGGCAGTAGATAGGATTCCAAGTTTCTTCCAACTCAGAAGCAAACAACGTGCGAGCCTTCGCTATGCAGTGGGCGATGTATGTCGGAAGGGTCGCTGATGGAGCCCAGGAGACGCAGCCTGACGCAGATTCTTGGAGCAAGTCCCTGACGGTCGGCTTTGAGCACTTCCAGGCTGTTCCGATCCTCCCAAGATGCTCAAGCAGCCAGAAAGAACGGAAAAGGGAGGACAAATAAAGTCGAAAATGCCTCCGTGTGTGATTTTGGCTCTCCGCAGATTAGAGGGCACCTTCGAGCGCTGGTAGCCTGCAGACAAAATACGTAGACGGAGGTTGGCTATGGGTCGGGTTAAGGCTAATTAGTGGTTCTCAGGTAGTGGTAGTAGCTCGCTACAGTGTCCGTGTGGGGGCCTCAGAGATAACGTGATGCTCTGGGCGGCTTTGGGGAGCAAGACGCTGCACCTCAGGCCAGCAGCCAGCCGCCGGGAGGTCGTCGCCCTCTTAAATGTCGCGCGCTTGGGAATCTACCAAGCCCAGCAACATTAGATGAAATCCTACGTCAGGAGAATTTCTCCAATCATGCTGCATCAACTTCTATTTTTGTCTCCAACGGCCACACACCTCAAGGCACGGCTAGCATGCACGTTGCCTGTTTTGGCGCCCCAAGAGCCACCAGCACCAACCCCTAAGTTGCTAGTCCTTGGTTTAGGCGCCCGAGCCCAACCGCCCCTATTATTGCAGCCTCCTGTAGCAAAATACATCATGTCCAGGACTGCTCTCTGCTCCGTATGCTAGCCGTCGTGGTATTGTAGCAGCAGTGCTACAGGTTTTTCATTACCAAATGCTCTTCCTACGAGTCACGGCCTGGGGACTTTGTTCATCAGCGGGTCTCGGGCCATTCCCGCGCACCCTAGCGAGCACTGGCATGTTTGGAGATGTTTGAAAGACGGGGGATGCTTCATATATACGAGGGTCAGGAGGATGAAACCCTGCTAAGCTGCTATCACTCCTGAGCTCGCCCGACCCTCGCCAATCCTGCGAACCTAGATCTAGCATCTCTATTGGCTGCGTGAACGTGCAGCCAAGGCCCGACGCCGAGACTCTACCGTATGTGGGACGATTCAGGTGGAAATGCCCGTCATCATCTCCATCGTTTTGAGGAGCTTTGACTGTGTTCCAGCACTGATAAAATGCCAGTCCAGAAGCACATATGGCGTCTCATCGCCCACAAGCGTTGCCTGTTTGGACGTCTCCCTATTATGCCCCATGGAATAGTGTTACGAGAGGCCGTTTCAGAGTAGTTTACCCTAGAAACGACCTGCCTATTGAAAGCTTCTTCCTATATAGCAATAGCCCAGTGATTGATAAATCACATTAGCTCCCAGAAGTATTATTTGCCGTGTGAAGGACCATAGAAAGCCGATTACATAGGTAGGTAGGTATGCCGCTGACGCGCAAGATAGTACGTGCAGTATTTATGCCGTCTTATTGATTGAAATCCAGGTTATTATGTATACCTATTCCTTGCTCCGTGAGAACCGCTGTCAAGGGCAGCAAACACATCTCTTAACATCGAGCTTTTTGGCCCAAAGCCAAATCTGACAGCAGCTCGCCTCACATGGAATTTTGCCATTTCCGTTAGACGATGGAAACAATTTGTTTTGCAGCCTGTCGAATCTTCCGCATGACATTCCAAAGCGTTCCAAACATTGGTAGGTGGTGTTAGTGAGGGGCCTGCAATCCGTCTTCTAATTTAAGTCTCCGGCATCCGCCATTTGCGGGGCCAGCGTTTATTGCCTACATACATGTCGTGCTAGAGCCTTGTGCTTCGTATACCTGTGACTCCACACTGGCTGTAGCATCCAGAGCTGAGGCCCGATCTTGAGGCTAGAGCGAGCTGCAGTCTCTGCCGTTTTCCGAATATGAAGAGCGGGGGCTGTAGTCTATGGTCTTGTATGGCTGAGTAGCTACCTACTAACTTTGCTGCCACTAGGGCGGCATAAAGAGACCTGCAGTGACGGCACCTAAAAGATGCAAACCAGCTGGAAGCCAAACTAGGCTCGAATTCATAAAATCAAGTTCGTCTACTATACGAAGCAAAAATAAATTATAGATAATCGGATTTATGAACCAAGGGCACTTTCCAGATATAAACTTTCTACCGCATGAAATTACTCTGGGCGCTGGTCGGAAGAGCTTGTGTACTTACGTAAGCGTTGTAGAATTCGGGTAAATATAGTTCCATACTACCCCTGCCACGCGCGACACGAGGCTGAAGGCTATCGCCGAGACTGCTCAAAAATTCATAAAGACTTCTCAGGAGAGGAGCCAGCTAGCCTCATCTAGCTCTTTGATCGTCGTCGTGGGAATTGAGTCATTCTTTCTGAAATCATCGAGAATCCCTTCAACAATCGGCTTAATTGCGTTATCCGCGCCGAATTCGGTCGCGAGCCCCTCGATTCACCCTGTGACATCCACACCACGCGATTGCGTTAGGCACTGGCAAGATGAGCTCTACTATGCGCGATCTGATTTCAGGGGAGGCCGAGTTGGATGACGAAGAAGATGACGAATCCTTTGACGAAGAAACTGGCCAAGAGCGTCGAAAGAGACCTACTGCTCACGTCGACGACTCCAGCGAAGAGGAAGAAGATGATGACGACGAGGAAGAAGCTCGCAAGGTAACCCGAGGCGCTTTGACTCGCGATCCGGCTGCCTACTGACACGCTTAACCATTATTAGATCCGCGAGGGCTTCATTGTCGACGAGGACGAAGAAGAGGAGGAGGTCGAGTCTGACGTCGAAAGCCGACCGATTAAGAGAAAGCGAGAGCATCGGAACCGCGAGGAGGAAGAGGCACTGGATGAAGAGGATTTAGAACTCATTGGCGAGCAATTTGGTGAA